ATTATTTCCGTCGCCCTTCCGTTACATTTCGACAGCTAGTCGCCCTTGGTAGCGTAGAGACGGAACGGCACAACCGGAATATAAGTGCTCAACTCCGGCCGTAGATAGTGTCCATTGGTGGAACTGGCATGAGATTATTGCCCACTCCAAGGCACCCTCACTCCCGTCTCTAAAATGGGAAGGGGAGGGTTTATTTATTACTGAATTGATAATTGATGCAAGGCCACTTCTATATAACCAAGTTAGCATATAAATCCTAAGACGAAAGTTCATTTGCAAAGGACTAGCATGGCTCCCTTGTACCCTAGATACGATGCAAGAACAAGAAGGTCATGAGAAGCGAAGAATTTTTCCCAGGCCGACATCATCCCCAGTTACTTGCTTATATCTGGAGGGCCTGGACTGCCATGCCTGCATTTCATAGTTAACAGCGCATATCGTACAAACGTAGACACTGCTTGGATAGCCCTGTTTTTCTGTGGAGGCCCTTCGTTTAAATCCTTTGCTCACCAATCACTGGCCAGTTAACTTAGCGCCTGGGCAGGCCACTGGGATGGAGGCACGCGGTGGTTGACGTCGAGTACGCCGCCCCAGAGACAAGTGCAAAGTCGAAGGATGCCAATAACCGAGGTGATCCTACGGTAAAGCTCTTCGTCATCAAGACGAGGTGAAGTTCATGAGGTAGCATGGCTTAGACCTCTATCATTCTCCATCGGACGGGACATCCGTCAAAATCGACCAGATAGGTGAATATGCAAGGCGACCGCGACCACAGCGCGCCCTTGTTGGATTTCCCCGCAATGTCAATCTCGGCACCATTGACATGGGCTCTGATCGGTTATATCCTTGATAATATGCCATCTGCGCCCTTGGACTATATGGCATCGACATCCAGCGTGGCATGGCTCATGGGAGGCAAACTGCTGAGTCTCTCACTCTTTTCACAAAGTTAGCACAAACTTCGACCTGAAAACGGGTACCTGTCCCGCAGCTCACCCAACCTTCATCGCCTCGAGGCCTATCATCTTCTTCAACCTCGCCTTTCTCGTCGTCTTTTCTGTCCGTCGACGTCGCCGTCGAATTGGATTCTTTTGCCCTGCAGGAACGAAATCGGATCAGCGCGCTTAGTCAGCAAACATCTCGATGTCACTGCGGATCCCAGGAAGAAGCAAAGAAGAAGCAAAGAAGAAAACTCCGGGGAAGAAATGCGAGCAAAGGCCAGGGTTGGAGGCTGTCCGCTTGCTTGGAGGGGGAGAGCAGCCAGAAATAATTGCCCAGAGACTCCAGGTCGTGCACCTCGGGTAACTATGCGCTCGCTGGCTGGTATAAAATGCGCGGGTTCGCCCCGTATGCGGCGCAGGAAGGCCGACACAGGTTTTGCGAACAAGAGAGCGGCTTAGGAAGAGAGAAGCAGAACCATTGACACGATGGTGGCCTACCGTTTGCTGGCTCTGATATCCCTGGGGCTGGGATCGCACTGTGCGAGTGCCCTGCAATATGGCTACAACCAGCTCTCTACGCACAAGGACTCTGCTGTTGTCGCAGGGGCGTTTCCTGCGATAAATGGGACACATCTGCAGTCTCCTGCCTTTACCTCCCCTGGTACTGTGCCCAGAGGCTTCTCTGATGGCACGTCTGGGCCTACCAGGGACGAGACCATGGGTGAGTATTGTTTTAACGCTGCTCGTTTTGCCGATAGTTCACCTGCTAATGGGTATCAGAGGGCTTCATGCGCCGCCTGGCAAGGTCGAACAGCTGGATGGCCTACCACGAGGCCGATTTTAAGTCTGAAGAGGGCCGCAAGTTTCCCTATATGTATCTCTCAGCGAGCAACTCTTCAGTTGAGAACCCTTCTAGCCACAAGTTGCGAGTTTGGCTCCAGGGAGGTGTGCACGGTAACGAACCTGCGGGCGACCAGTCCATGCTTGCGCTCCTTGGTGACTTGGCCGCAAATCAGAAATGGGCTGCCAAACTCCTGGAGAAGATGGATATCCTAGTGTTGCCTCGTTACAACCCTGATGGTGTCTTCTACTTCCAGCGCTACCTGGCCACTAATTTTGATCCCAACCGTGACCATGTCAAGCTTGCCAGGCAACAAACCAGAGACATCAAGGAGCTCTTCACCAGATTCAGCCCACACATTGCGACTGACATGCACGAGTTCACTGCAGGTCGAACATTTGGTCCGAAAAAGGATATTATCTATGCTGCTGATGCTCTATTTAGTGCAGCCAAGAATCTAAATATCGATGAAGGCATCCGTCAACTGTCAGAGAAACTATTCGCCAAGCGTATGGGCAAGGATATTGAGGCTGCTGGTCTCCGCTGGGACCCATACATCACTCAGGGAGAATCCTCAAGCTCGAAGCTCCTTCTCCTTGAGGCCGGTACTGACGCTAAGATCGGAAGAAACGCTATGGGGCTGTCCCAGTGTGTTGTCTTCCTCTGCGAGACCAGAGGCATTGGTATTGCCGATCAGCATTTCGAACGCCGAACTCTCAGTGGATTGGTCATGGCTAAGAGCATCCTGCAAACCGCCGTCGACAACTTCGATGAAGTCTACAATACCATCGAAAGGGGCATTAGACGCTTCACTAATAGCAGAAACGATATCGTGCTCACTGACAAATCTCCAATAATGGAAAGGACTTTTGGCATGCTCAACATAACCGATGCCTCTCTATTTGACTATCCTATCGACTTCGCCACGTAAGTCTTTCTCCCCGAATGCATGAATTCATATAATTCCTAGACTAACAAACTCAGAACTACCCCTGCGGAAGCCGTCTTGACTCGCAGTCGCCCAAGGGCATACCTTATCCCTCCTTCGTGGCCAGATATCGTCAAGCGCCTGGAAGTATTCGGAGTCAAGGCTGACAAGCTCCCCTACAGCTATGTCGGGCCAGTAGAGGCCTTGAACGTTACTTCTGTTACTTTCGACAAGGAATACTACGAAGGCGTCGTCACTACTACCGTGCAGACAAAACTTGTTGAGCGTAACATCAGGCTTCCAGCAGGCTCGTATTTGGTCAAGACAAACCAGAAGAACGCCGCTCTTGCATTTGTTGCTTTGGAGGTAAGGACTAAGGACCTTTTACCTGTTTTGATCATGGACGTTTACTGACCATTCGTGAATAATAGCCCGAGAACATTGACTCATTTGCGTCATTCGGTATTATTCCAGTCAGCACTGGTGATCAATATCCCATTTTCAGGTTAAAGTGAATTATACATTGATATACTCTACTAGAGGTTGGTAAGGATAAATCCTATCATATAGCCCCATCATATCAATATATAAATATAACTTGAATCTGGTCATTAACTCTCATCTAAATAAACCAAATCGTAACCCGACTGCTGGATCTCTATAAGTCTATCTATCCTCTTCATCAGCCCAAAAGTCATCATAAGAATATTCAACGCTAAGATCAACAAAGCGAGTGTACTTTCCACCAGGAGCATCCCCAATGGCTTTGAACTCCTCGTCCGTTAGTTCGACTCGCTGGAAATTACTCGTGATTCGTGACTTTGTGAAGGATTTTGGAATTACTGAATACCCCCGCCTCAAACCCCATGCAATGAGAAGTTGTCCAATGTCACAACCCTTTTTGGTAGCTATATCTCGAAGCGCCTGCTGACCACGAGCCTTCTCCGCTTCGCCACATGTAAGAACCTGGGATCCTAGAGGCGAATAGGCCACAGGAAGGATACCATGGTCGAAGCAGAATTGAACAACCTTGGTGTTTGGGAAGAAAGGGTGAATCTCAATCTGGTTGGTAGCCGGTGGTATAGATGCAAACTTCAGCAGAGACCGTAGTCGAGAGACAGACCAGTTTGAAACGCCAATTGCCCGTGTAAGGCCATCTCGGGCAACCTTCTCCATTGCACGCCAGGTAGGCTCAGGGTTTTCTGTGAGTTCCCTCTTGACAATGTACTAGGTGGTCATCGTAAGTATGCACTCATACTTTGACAGTCTTATATACACACCTTTCCATCAGCGCCCACAGCTTCCCCTCCTTTTTCATCTTTTACCGTGGCAACTGGATAATGCAAAAGATACAGGTCGACATAGTCCAGCCTCAGCTTTCGGAGGGACTCCTTTATACTAGCCTCGACATCTTCTGGCTCATGCATATGGTTCCACACCTTGGTGGTGATGAACAGATCTTTACGCTGGACGTCGGGACGAGACTCGAGAAATTCATGTATCGCTTTGCCAACGAGCTCTTCATTAATGTAGAGAGCAGCACAGTCGAGGTGTCTGTACCCGGCATGGAGTGCATGGAGCGTTGCATCGTATGCCTTTTCCGGGTACCTGGGGTCCCATGTCCCGAACCCAAGGCCGGGTATATCGTGCCCCGTATTGAGTTTGAACATAGGGCTGGACATTGGGCTGCAATTGATATCAAAAATAAACAGGTTAATCGCTGGATCGTGGGTGTCGATGAAGTAGATGAAGTAGATGTAAATAGGCGGTGGCGGGGTGGAGGGGGAGAAAATAAATCATAAATAGAAACAAAACTTAAGGTTAAAAAAGGTTAAACTCTCTTCTTGCACTTTGATCGAACGACAACATCAGAAGGCGACCGGAAGACAAGCGGAAGACGAGATGGATTCACATATAATACTCTTCTCTACGTGAAATAATCGCTAATGCTTACAGCTCTAGGGCAGGGAAGCGTTGTCCTACTGACATGGCACTTAAAGCCACGAAAAATCTGTCCTCACGGTGTTATTAGTCTCATCCAGGCACAACGTCGCCAGATTATTATGACCATCACTAAAGAGCGACAAAGATGAATAGAAGACGAAGATAGCATCAGTGTTTGACAGGGAGAAAATGAAATGATTGCCACGTGAACCGAGTTTGGGGCTTGTAAGAATCGTGGGCGTTTGTCGCTATGACTCAGGCATGCAGCCTAGTTATTTAAATGGGATCCCCATGCTCCGTACTCAGTGACAAACAACGTCCCGAAACAACCGATCAAACTTGCAAGATGGTGTCTCTCACTGCCGCCTGCAAGGCAAATCATGCCCTTGTACTGCCTGGCCTGCTTGCCGCTGGGTATGCTAACCAGGGAGATGGCGGAGTTCCAGTTTCAATCGCCTATGAAGAGGACGTAGAGTTCGTCGGCCCAAACAAAGAGCCCCTCAAACTAATCACGGGAGATGGAGAACTTCTCTATAGCGATTCCATCATTCACCATCTAAGGGATAATTTCTCTTCTCTCCAAGTTGGCCATAAGGACCAGGTTTGTACCTAATTGCTACGGTTTATTGCTAAAGTGTACTAAACTTCACCCAGGTATCTGAATGGATTGCAAGATCTCTGGATCTGACGGCTTTAGACTTCAAAGCCATCGAACAGCCTCTGGATGAACTAGAAAGCCACCTTACTCTTCGTTCATTCATTGTCGGGTATTCTCTTACCCTGGCTGATATCATCGTATGGGGAAGCATACGTGGAAATAAAGTATCATTCTCGACCATCAAAAAACGTGGGGGGAACATACTTCGATGGTTTTCCCTTATTGAAACTGAGAACCCCTGGATACATCGGATTGTACTTGATCTGGAAGCTCCCTTCCGAAAGAAACGAGCGGCTGGTAGTGCTGCAGGAGCAAGTTACGAAATCGGCCTGAATACTGAGAATATCGTCACCAGATTCCCACCGGAACCCTCTGGTTATCTTCATATTGGACATGCAAAGGCTGCTTTGCTCAATGACTACTTTGCCCATAAACAGCCGGGTGGGACAATGATATGCCGCTTTGATGACACGAATCCATCGAAAGAAAACGCCGAGTTCCAAGATTCTATCCTTCACGATCTTGAGCTACTTGGGATCACACCAGATAAAGTCACATATTCCAGCGACTATTTTGATGTCATGTTTGATCTTTGTACAAAATTGATCTCCAATGGCAAGGCATATGCTGACAATACCGACAAGGAGACTATGGGCCATCAGAGACGACATGGGATAGCAAGCAAGTGCCGGGACCTTTCCGTAGATGAAAGCCTTTTCCATCTATTGCAAATGAAATCCGGCTCACCAGAGGGACAAGGCTGGTGTATTCGAGCGAAGATATCAGTGGATGACCTCAATAAAGCAATGCGAGACCCAGTTATATACCGCTGCAATCCTCAACCACATCATAGGACTGGCGATAAATGGAAGGTATATCCTACATATGACTTCTGTGCACCTGTCCTTGACTCTATCGAGGGTATAACGTACGCTCTTCGGACCAACGAATACCGGGATAGGAACGCGCAATATTCTTGGATACAGCAGGCTTTAGGGCTTCGTGAAGTTACAATTTGGGATTTCTCTCGAATGAACTTTGTACAAACTGTTCTCTCGAAGAGAAAGCTGGCGCTCTTGGTCGAGAAGCAGGTTGTCTGGGGTTGGGATGACCCGAGAATGCCAACCATCCGCGGCATTAGAAGGAGGGGAATGACAATCCCGGCTCTCCGTGAGTTCATTTTGAAGCAAGGTCCAAGCAGAAATATTATCAACCTTGACTGGACGTCAATATGGGCCATCAATAAGAAATTCATCGATCCTATTGCTTCTCGCTACACTGCCATTATGAGTAAAAATATGGTTTATACTCAAGTAAATGGAGTTGGAGATTCTCCCCTCGTCAAGCAGAAACAAAAGCATCCAAAGTCTCCTGAGTTGGGGTTGAGAGATGTTGTATACAGCAGCAAAATCTTCCTTGACCAGGATGATGCATTGTCGTTTCTTCCCAATGAGGAGATTACCTTGATGGGATGGGGAAATGCTATTGTCCGTGATATTATCAGAGATCCCAAAACGCAGATTATCACCAGTCTTAAGCTTGACATTCATCTGGAAGGGGATTTCAAGAAAACAGATAAGAAGATAACCTGGCTCTCTCAGGACCAAGGTCTTATCCCCGCTGAGCTGGTTGAATTTGACCATCTTATTACAAAGGACAAGTTGGAGAAGGAAGATGATATCATGTCCTATGTCAACTGGAAATCTGAAGTCCGTTCACATGCTTGGATTGATGCTGCAGCAGGGGAACTTCGAGCCAATGACACAATCCAACTCGAGCGTAAGGGGTATTATCGAGTTGATCAGGAACATTCTGATGGGAAACCGCTTCTTCTTTTCTCTATTCCCACTGGCAAGCTTGCTTAATGCCTTGGATCTGTTATTATAAAGTCTAGATTTGCTTAGCCAGATGCCAATTTTCCTATCCTCCAAGAGTTAACTAGCCGTCATTTTGTCGAAGTAATTTACCTCGGTTCCAACGAAATATACTCACAGTATCCAAAACGTAAAAACATATAGAAAAGCCGTTTAAATGCGATTTCAGACTTAATGACTATATATTAGCTGTAAAAAGCTGATGACGGGCATTCTGCGTACCAGCTGGGTAGCCGAAATGGTGGGGTAGAAGTCGCATTTTCCACATGCTCGACCTTCCTCAGCTTCAATCATCATCAAAACAAAAAACAAACAGTTACATTGCTAGGAGGACAGGGTCCGACAGAGCCGGCATCATGAACGAGGAAGAAGAAATCAGAAGAAGCCTGGGCCAGGTAAATATATATACCCTCTAGATTAGACAGTATAGACAAATGACGTTGACTCCCGAAATAGCTCTTCATCGTCGGCTTTGATAGCCTGACAGCCAGTGAAGATATCAAGTCACTCATCAAAGCACCCTTTTACATCGGAAATATCATTCTGTTCCGACGTAATGTCCACGATTCAGAGCAGTTGATTACTCTCACGAATGAGCTTCAGCAAACCGCTCGGGATGCGGGTCATGTCCGGCCCCTGTTCATTGCCGCAGACCAAGAGAACGGTTGGGTCAGCCAGATTAAGCCGCCCATCGCTACTCAGTTTCCTGGAGCTATGGCTCTGGGAGCAACGGGCTCCATCGAAGACGCTACTCAGATCGGTAGAGCTACGGGTGAAATGCTAGATGCCCTTGGTATTAACATGAACTATGCTCCTGTCTGCGATGTAAACTCAGAGCCATCCAACCCGGTTATCGGAATTCGGTCTCCAGGAGATGACGGAGTGAGCGTGGGACGAATAGCTTCGGCTTTTGCCACAGGCTTGCGTGAGAAGAGGATTGTTCCATGTGCAAAGCATTTCCCAGGCCATGGAGATACGACGGTCGATTCCCATTATGGCCTTCCCATCGTGGACAAATCCATCGAAGAACTGGAAGCATGTGAACTGATTCCGTTCCGAAGAGTGACTGCGGAGAATATCGAGTCCGTTATGACGTCCCATATTGTTCTACCGGCACTTGAGGAGTCAAATCTACCCATGACTCTCAGCAAAAGCTGCGTGGACTTCCTGCGGGAAAGACTCCAGTATGATGGACTGTTGGTGTCTGACTGCCTGGAGATGGATGCTATTCGTGAGTACTATGGCACTGAAAAGGGCGCTGCTATGGCAATTGCCGCTGGCGTAGATTGTGCCATGGTGTGTCATACACTGAAAGTTCAAGTTGGTGCGTATAACGAAGTCTATCAAGCTTTCAAGCAGGGGGATATCACCTCTGAAGGTGTTGCCAAATCAGTCGCAAGAGTCGCAGCATTGAAAGACAAGTTTATTAGCTGGAAGTCAGTCTTCAGAAAACGGAAACCCGAGCTGCTTTCAGAACTTCGTCTGGCACATGAAAGACTTTCAACGAGAATTTATGCTCGAAGTACAACATTGGTGAGGGATACACAGAAAGTCATTCCTCTCAAGCCAGCTGAGAACGTGGTATATGCATACATTTCTCTAGTCGGAGAAAACGTTGCGGTCCCCCATACTCTTCCACACACCCAGTCGAAATTCTGGGACGTGATCAAGCAATACCACTCATATACAATTGAATGCCCAGTTCTCCAGGACATCATACTTGAAGATGACGAAATGACCAAAGCAAAGATATCAGAAGCTGATGCAGTTATTCTGGTAACCAAAGATGCGAAGATGTCCGTAGACCAGGTAGAGCTGACGAAGCTGATTGAGGGGTTGTCCAAGAAGCTCATTGTAGTGGCTATTGGAGGTCCGTACGACTTCCTAGAGGATGAGGATTTTGTCAAAACCTACCTCACCATATATGAGCCAACTGTTGAAGCTTTTATACCTGCTGTTAGAATAATATTTGGAGACATCGACGCGAAAGGAAAACTTCCAGTGTCGGTTAAACCTTGCCAGGTACCGATTGAGCCTTTCAACGCAGACAGGGATCTTGCTAAAGTCGTCGAACTTTGGCATGGACTTTTACCAAGATATGCCGTACCATCGGCGACACTTTCCCACGTTCTAAGCAGGCCGAATGGAAACCACTTTGTTTCACGTGTTGGAGATAAAGTAGTAGGATTTGTGGCCACTTATACAAATGAAGACCGGCCTACGGCATTCATCCCCGTGGTCCTTGTGGACTCCGGCCACCAGGGCAAGGGCGTGGGAACCGCACTGATTGAGCACGCCCGAATATACCTTCGAAACGGATATTCCACGTCATCAGTTACAATTGGTTCAAGCTTCCCTCGGTTTTGGCCGGGAGTCCCAATGGATATTTCAAATCAAGCCCAGGAGTTCTTTATCCATCGTGGGTTCTGTCCTGAGCGTAGACCAACAGCAAGGGACTACACTGTCGACTTACTCTCATACGAAGCACCAAAGGGCGTCTTAGAGCGCGCAGAAAAGGCAGGAGTCACATATGCTCCCTGGAGAAAGGAACAATATGAAGAATGTATGGAGAAACAGCGCAAGCTGTTTGGCAAAGATCCCGTGTGGATGGACGCTTATGAAGGGCTAGCACAAACAGGCCAGTACAACCAGGTAATGGTAGCAACGGACTCATCGACAGGTGAGCAGATCGGGTGGACATTGATGCAGGAATTGGGCATCGGGATGACACAGGAGCTCGCCATGCAGCCGCTGGTGGGTATCAAGTCTGGTCAAATTGGCTGCGTAGGAGTTGTTCCTGAGGCAAGAAACAAGGGAGTCGGTCTCGCCCTGATCACGCACGCTGCCCTTGATCTGAAACGACGAGGGATGGAGCATGTATTCGTCGACTGGTCGAACCACGTCAACTGGTATGAGCGTGCTGGCTTCAAGGTCTGGGGCGAGTATCGGACTATGGTGTTGCATGAGCTGGCGAAGACTAACTAGCAGCTGCTCTCTTCTTATTCATTCTTAGCCATTGGCCTTGCCCTTGCATAGATTCAACAGTATAATAGTCCCTATTAGCGGAATCCAACAACTATATTATCCTTTTCAGCTCAAGCAGGAATCAAAATAGTAATTAATAATAATAAACAGTTCGTGGAATAAAATCTTCGTCGTCGATAGAAAGTTATCGCGATGTCTTGGCACGGACGAGCTTAAAAAAAGCGTTGGTTATCCAAAACTCGACGAAAGCAAAGACAAGCAACGAATATAAAAGCGAACAAGCTACAAGCGAGCTAAAAGGACGCCCAGGATGGCTTCAATTCGGATACCAGCGCTCAGAAACCTCCTCAGCCGGCCTGTTCTGCCCACCAGACATGTGCAGCGCCGATGGGCCCAGGTCCACGATGTCCGCTTCATCGCAACCCATCAGTCCTCACAGGTGCTTGATAAGTACAAAGAGAAGCTAGCACGCAAGGCCAAAGAGTGAGCATGAGATTCCTCTTGTTCTACATCTACTTCTGGTTTACTAACGGCATAATGTATCAGGGAGGGCCACGATTCCGTATCCTCGCTCAAGAAAGCATATAAAGAGAAGATCCAGCAAGTCCGCAACGCCGACGCAGCACCCCAGACACCCCTAAAGCCATCCTCATCACCGTCCTCTGAACCAGCAGGCCTGAATAAGAAACCCTCCGTACCTTCAGCTAAGAAATCCTCATCACCACCCGGCATCAAGCCGCTATCATCATACCTTGATCTGGAGAAAACCGCCGCCCTACCGCCCGACACCATCGGCAAGCTATGGCGAGCACGACACGTCACGAACCCGAACTCGATATGCGCCAGCATCCCGATAGATACATACAATCGCATGGTGAAAGTAGCTCGACAACACCCGCAGTTCGTCCTCCCTTTGCCGCGGGAGTTAGAAACGCCGCAAGACCCTAAGGAAAACGCCGAGGCAAGCTCGGAAACGCCAGCTGAGAAGGCAATTGCTGCTGAAATGCATTTCCTTCAATGGGGGTTCCATCCGCCTGCGTCGGCGAGTGATTCGAAGGTCCCCACGCCAGTTAGCACGCATAACACGCATACTTCGACGGTGATATTTACTTCCTTGGCGGAATATAAATTGCATGCGGGCTTTGCGCCGCCGCATACGGTGATTACGCACCATCTGGACTTTGCGGATGATAAGGGGATTGTATTGATGAATGGCACCGTGGTGACGGATAGGGGTGTGACGGTTGACGATGCACAGCTGCTGGTGCTGTGGTTGCAGAAGTTTTATGACTGGGAGGCCGAGGGGGCTGGGAGCCAGGGGGGTCGAAAGGGGGAGATGTTGAGGATGTTCACGAGTGGTGACTCAGAGGGGTTTAAGGTGCAGGAACTTATTGATGAGGTGCAGAGGGTGTAAGTAAGGCGGTTTGTTTTGTCCAACGGTTTTTTATGGGCAGTGTGGGGTGTGTGTGTGTGTGTAGATTACACGGCATGTACAATATTGATAGGTAGTAAGATATAGAAAGGACTGGAGTGGTCTAATGTTGAGTATTATTAAAATAAAAATGTATGTTCTTCCTCTACGCTGTGTAATGTGATCATGGACAAAGAGGGTGAAAAGTAAGAGTGGGCAGCATTAAGCCGTAAGCCAACCATGCAAAATGGGCTGTATAAAACCCGGGTATCGTGTCAATGGTATGCAAACATGGAACCCAGAGGTAGCAAAAAAGAAAAAGAAAAGGCCAAAAAAGAACAAAAGAAATAAACGAAAGGAGGTCCAGAAACCAAAAAACCAGAAGCCAAAATAAACAATCAATCAAAAAAGCCGAACGAGGAAGCAAGCCAAAGTGCACCGAAACAACGAACCACCCCCCTGATATGGGTAACCATGCAAAAAACCAACGGAAAACGAAAATGAGAAACAACTGGAGACAAAGGAAAAGCAAGCCGGTGACGCCGGGAGATGATTATGCGTGCGTGTGTGCGTGTGTGCGTTAGTATGGTATTTATGGGGGAGCCGTGGATGATTACATTAGTCCAGGACTTCGTCAACGATGAAGGCATGTATGTACTCGAAATACATGGGCTCGGCAACGGTGTCGTTATGCTGGCCGTTGGGAAAGGTGCGCCAGATGCATTCTGTTCCTTTAGACATGCTGAACAGTTGTAGCATGTGATCGGGTCTAGAGTGGATGTTAGACAAGATATGTGTATAAAGGCGGGGGAGATAAATAAACTTACGGAATTATCTCATCTTTCAGGCCGCTGAGGAATAGTATTGGGACAGTGGTGATTTTGGGCAACACCTCCTCATTCAACCAGGTCTGATGACACAGTCTAGCAACGTACTTTGCAGCCGGGAAGACACTATAATTCACTCGTTAGCAAAAAAAGGGGGGTTTAAGACTGCAGATTGATGTATTACACACCTGGGTATCAGCTTGCGGATGCTAAGAAAGGTATTCTCCAGGATCAACGCCTTAATGTCGCCCTCTTTCTGGTTCTTTGCAACCAGATCAATAGCCACGGCACCACCCAGGCTCTGCCCGTGGATAACAATCTTGGTGCCCTGCAACTCGGCCCGGTTCCGAATATAGTCGAGCGCCGTCTGGGCGTCTATCTTGAGGCCAGCCTCGTCCGGGGTACCCGTGGAGAGGCCGTAGCCTCTGTACTCGAGCATGAAGACGTTGCAGTCTAGCTGCTGCTCGAGCATATGGGCTATGGGAGCGCGGTGGCCGATGTTCCCCGCATTGCCGTGGAACATGAGGATGGTGACCTGCGCCTTGATTTTCCTGTTGGAGGGACGGATGAAGTAGGCAGCCAGCACCTCGCCGTCCGGGGTGGGGATGCGCAGGTCTTCGAAGTTGGTCATGCCGAAGTCTGACGGTTTGGGAACGTTTGTTCGTGCATCGGCGGGTATGTTGCGGGGATAGATCAGGTCACTTTAGCATGTTTAGCTGCTGCTGCAGAGGCAAGTCATAACGGTGTGGTATGGACTAGGTGGGATATGGGAGGTGGGCGTACTTTTGCTTGAAGTAGAGCATGCCGCTGGCGACAACGGCCAGGCCGCCAGACGCCAGAACAGGCAGTCTGAGAAACTGCACGACGTTGGCGGCCATGGCAGCGAAGTTCCAACCGGACGGTGGCTGAGGAGGAGGAGCGTCCGCCATCGCTGCTGGCTGGCTGGCGCGCGGTATGCTCGAGGCGAAGCTGCAACGGTGTAGTCGGACGGGAGCTCGCTAGGGGCAACAGCCTTAGTTTTGCGCAGGGAGCGAGGACTGGGATGGGATAGGTAGCTCGAGGCTGGTGTGGTTGGCGAACTGCGACGGCCTAGGGATCCTCGCTGGGTTAGATATGCAGTTTGCAACGATCCCCAATGAAGCTGCAACGTGAGGACGCCGTTGGAGGCTGCCGGGAGAAGGGCGGCGGGGGAAGGGAAGTCGGACGGCGGACAGAGATGATAGGTCTGATCCGGGGGGGGGGGCGCCACAGGGCTCGCAGTCGATAGAGGGCGGAACCGCGCGTGGATCTAGACGGCGGGAACAAGCAGGTTATCGCAGTCGCAGGGCGGTGGACGCAGGAGTATTAGCTGTATTGCCTGCAGCACAGGAGGCCTGGGACGGGGCTATTAGGTATTATTATACAGGCGAAGAGTTGGAAGTTGAAAGTTGAAGCTTGCGAAGTCGCGAAGTTCGAAGTTTCTGATGAAGAAGAAAAAAAGGTCGAAATAGACGCCGGATTACATAAGCTGGCGGCTCTTTTAAGGGGGCTTTTTTTCAGGGCTGATTCAGGGGCGGCGGCGAGGAGGAGGAGGAAAGCTGAGACGGAGCTAGAAGAGAGGCTGAGACGCGCGGGAGGAGGTAAAATAGACATTACTATGAGCGAGGACGATGACGTTTCCGGATCTAAGTAGCTACTCCGTAGATTCAAAAAGTGGACGCAGAAGGGAAAAAAGGGGAGGAAGAGAGACTAAGTAGACAAGGGGGCCATCAAGCGTCCATCCATCCAGACATCAAATAAATACATCCATTAGAGAGGGAGAGCAGACAGACAGGGAGGAGGGCTAGCGGGTATCTCCAGTATATACGGAGCCAGAGGGAGGGATATGGTGACTTATGGTGCATGGGGGGGGAGTGGTGGTGGTGATGTACACTGTACACAACATCTGGAGGGAGCACGTCTGACAAGGACCAACTGCCGTTTCATCATAGGGGGGAGAAGAAAATCAAGGAAACTAGAAAAGGATAGACAGAGAGAGGAAAGATAGAAAGATAGACAAAAAAAAAAAAAGCAAGGAAAGTAAGGAAAGGGAGAAAAAAAAAAGAAAAAGAAAAAGAAAAAGACTCGTAACTCTCGCGCCGTTTTATGTATGTGTTGGTGTGAATCTGTCGTTCTGGGCCGGAGGATCGCCCTGGTGCTGCATGGCGCTTGTGGCCGTGGCGTTGGAACCGGGCTGAGGTGTTCCCTGTTGTTGTTGTTGTTGTTGTTGTTGCTGTTGCTGCTGTTGCTGCTGCTGTTGAGCAACGAGTTCCCTGGCATAGAACTGGACAAGCATGGTGCCGTAGGCCTCGAGTTCCTCGACGGGGACGGCCAGACGAAAGTCGTTGAGCAGCAGGAATTGCAGCTCCAGGTGGTTCAGCTCTATCAACGGAAGGCCTCCAACCTGTAGATGTTCATATTAGTATCAATATCAATCCCATGAATAGGTATAGTGGACTCACCTTGGCGTATCTGGAATTAGTGTAAAAGACATCAGAGAAGAATTTACTGGCGCAGGTGACGCCCGCAATGACGAGGCGGTGTATGTTATAGCTATCTACAACGAGGAAATGGGAAAAGTTGAGCTCATCGGAGACATCGGAGAGGTCGTCGTCGTCGGAGTCGCTGAGGTCGTGCTCTGCCTCCTGGTCGTGCTGGTCCTGGACGGAAGGGGACCGCATGGGGTGATCGACGGGCGAGGTCGGGGGCAGGTGTTGTTTGCCGACTGCAGCCCGGGCAATCGAGGTCTCTGTCGACCGCCGGGAGGAGAACCGTCTGCTGATGGTATTGTTGTTGTTATTAATATTGGGATTGGCGTTTGCCGGAGAGAAAAAGGGCGAAGAGGAAGAGGTATGCGGTCTGTTGGAGGAAGAGGTCGACATGGTGCGTATGGACGGGTTGGGCCGCAGATGGGCGCGGCGGTGCATCTGCTGCAGGAGATGCGAGTTGACGGTCTCGGTCATGCGGTCGAAGTAGACGAGCAGGCTGATGAAGACCTCGTAGGTGGTCGGGCAGTACTTGTGGATGCGGCTGAGGTAGTTGAGGATGGTGATGCCGGGCACATTCTTGCCATGAAACGCCAGCACGCTGGTGGTCTGCGGCGGCAGCGAGCGCTGCTCGGCCCTGGGGATATGTCGGTGCAGGTGTTCGTGCTGGCGGTCGTTGGTCGTGGTGATCTTGGTGAGCAGGCCGGCCACCATCTCGATCACGTCGCCCACGGGCATGGAGCTGATCTCGTACTGACGCTGCAGGCCGCCGGGCCGGTGCTGCGACGACCCGGCGGCGGCGGCCTCCTCGCTGGCAAACGACTGGATATGCGAGAGATCCCGGACTTTTATACGGGTAGACGGTGTAGATGTAGACGTTGTTGTAGATGTAGATGTTGTTGCTGTTGCTGTTGTAGATGTAGGCGAGCCCTGGGCCGGCCGAAAGGCGGGCTGGGAGGCAGCAGGCAGCTCATGGCCGTTCATCCGCTGCCTGTCGGGCAGTCGCTGGTGTATGCTGGACGAAGCGGCCGCCGTCGAGCTGGGCAGGCTGGTCGTCGAGGCATGCGGGTGGTGCTGTTGTTGTTGTTGCTGATGGTGATGATGCTGGGAGACGGAGGCCGGCGCAGACTCTGCGGTCTCTCGCGAGGCCGTCATCGTCGCTGCAGCCGCCGGGCCAGCCTCTGCGGACGAGGATGCCGCCGTCTCCAGCTCGCGCTTGAGGCCGGCAGAGAGCATGCTGCCGGCGCTGCTGGAGGCCCTGCGGTGCTGCTGGCCGCCGGACGAGCTGGCGATCAAGGGCGGCTGCAACGGGGCGCAGGCAACGGCGCCCATGTCAGCATGCACATAGCGGGAGAGACGACGAGTGTGGTTGCGGGAGGCCGTCGAGATGCCCGTCGAGATGCCCTGGATCTGCCCTTGGAGTGCCGGCGAGAGGGTGCGCTGGCGGTCGCTGGTATTTATTATTATTATTATTGTCTCCCTCGAAGGGCCGGCCAGAGAGGCAGCGCAGGCAAAGTGGTGGGGCAGCCTGGGCGGTCGATGTTCGCCACCGCAGATACAAGATAGAGAGAGAGATAGAAGATATAAGATATAAGAAGATATATAAGAGGATCAAGAGGAAGAAGAAGCAGAAGATTAAAGATTAAGAAGCAGAAGTCAAGCAGAATCTGCGGCGTGAACGTGGGCTTTTGGCGCGCCAGCGAGTGGTCGCTGGCTCGTCCGTTCCCTGCTTACGGCGGGCAGCGATCCATGCTTAGCCCGCATTTACTCTTGCATTCGATAGCAAGCTATATTGATAGCATTTCCACACAACGTTGAAGCTGGCATTTGGTAGAGAGAGTCGGTAGCATTGACAGGTTAACATTAAGATACTGGGGATGACGCCCCCGGGCCCGTATAGCCGTTGTCGGGCAGGTAGAGATGCCGCACGGCGCCGCGTCTCGTCAGCACGACCATGCGGATGACGCCCCCCGAGCTGCCGTCCCATTTGATCGCCTCCCGCAGCGAGTTCTTGACGAATTCCACCCCTTCGGCCTCGTTCATGTTCTCCCGCCAGTTCGCGTCGCAGTAGCCGTAGATGTACGTCGAGCCCGAGCCCCCGATGGCATACGGCTGCTTGTGCAGCGACCCGCCCAGGGGGATGCTGTACACCTGGCCGCCGTGCCGTTCGTCGTAGCCTGCGATTATTATGCCGGCACTAACTAGTTAACTCACTTATTCTTCATGCTATGTTGGATAGGGTGTCTACCTCAGAGCATCCTTGTTGTCGTAGCATAGCTCCTGGAAGAGAGCAGCGGCCGTCTGCGTGGTGGGCTGCCGGCCGTAGACCACCCCGTACATGCCCAGATGGTACTTGACGATGTCTGCCACCGCCTGCGTGTCTGCTGCCGAGCCAGAGCGGCAGCACCAGATCGTGTCGTGCACCTGCGTCAGCTTGTCCGTCACCCGGTTGGCGATATACGCGCCCGTCGTCGTGCGTGAGTCCGCGCCCAGGATCACCCCGTCCTTGAAGTTGATGGCCATTCTGCCTCATTAGTCCATGGTCCATAGTCCATAGTCCATATATATATATGTAGTTGTGTATCTTCGGCTTACATCGATGTACCCAGACTGAAAGGTCAGCTTGATTCACAATTCACTTCCAAGGGGGATATCTCGACTTACTTGACTTCTCCCTTCTTGAGATGCTCCATGTCGACGTGTATGCCATCTGCTCGCCGTCAGTCTCGCCGTCTCCAAGCTCGCCGGAGCTCTGCTAGACTCACCTTCACCCAGACACCCAGTTACCCCGGGAGCCATCTCAAGACAAACGACAAACAGAACAACTAGACAAAGACAGACAGGCAAGAACAGCAACAAGCAAGCAAGCAGAAGAAGAACTCGTCTATCACACCCTGGAAAGAGACGCTGGATAGCCGGCAGTGCTGAAAAGTTGCTGGACTGCTCGTCGACTTCGACCTTTCATGCAGCTTCTTGAAGGCAGCCAGAGCGACGCGGCCGGATCTTTGTTTTTCCGCGACGATTCCGGGATGGACGGACAGGGGGTTGATATCAGATATCAGATATAAGATATAAGATATAAGATATTATGGAAGATGTATTAACCATTGATTATTGCAGATTAATATTAGACTAGCTGATGTACAGGATGACACAACGAAAAGAAGAAGAAGTAGTAGAAGAAGAAGAAGAAGAAGAAGAAGAAGAGACGAGAAGAAGAGAAGAAGAGATCACCTTCCTGCCTCCCTGACAAGCTGCATAAAGGCGTCTGTCCCCTGAGTCCCCAGAGACCAGTACAGCTTGCTCTCCGCCGCCGCCTCGCTGCTCGTGTCTGACGCCGACCGGCTCCGGCCTCTTCTCGACAACCGCTTCGAGCCCCAGCCTAGCACGTCGGTGGCTCCCCGCTGGCCCTCCTCGCCCGGCACCAGGCCCAGCAGCTGCGTCTCCAGGCATCCCAGCACCGCCACGCCCGCCCGGAACAGGATGCGGTCGCCCTCAAACACCCAGCAGTCCCAGATGCGCGAGACGTGGTCGACGTCCAGCCCGTTCGTGAACAGCGAGCGGAACATGGGCTCCCAGATCTGCGAGTCCGACAGGCACAGGTTCTCGCATAGATGCGTCGACAGGCGCGGGAACTTGAGACGCAGCGTTGCAGAGGCCAGACTGTATGCTCGGGCGGTGGCTCCGGGGTCAGACGTCAGGAAGGCCAGGGCTACGGGTCGGTTGAGGGCGTTGGCCAGAGTCAGGAAGGCTGCAGAGGCCGTGTGCAGCTGCAGTAGTAGAACAGCAGCAATGGTCTAGAAACATACTGTCAGCACATGAACACACACACACACACACATTATTAACATATGATAAAAGGAAACATACGTGAATGCCGTGGATGTAGCCTACGTCGCTGCGGTACATGGCATACGCATCCAGCACCTGCACCAGGCTATCATGTAGCGGTCCGCCTTCTGCAAACACATTCAGTGCAGGAAACGCACTGGCGGCGTCCTTGCGGATGGCTGCAAACCGCTCATGCGCCCACTTGTACCCGTCGCCCGTCTTGCTCCTGAGCTGCTCGGCCCGCTCAAGCGCCTTGACAAACGACTCCTCTGTCAGGGCCAGCTCGTTGCCAATGGCTCGCTGCCACACCGCCCCGCGAGACCGAGGCGTGATGCCGCGCCACCAGAGCTCTCGTGTTCGGGGTTCGGCAATCACCCTGTCCCAGTCAGGGAACACATAGTCGTCCCAGATGCGCTGCAGCATCTTGCGAGTGTCGTCTTTCTTACATTGCGCCGACGCTTCTTCCGCCGCCCGCCGTTTATCTATCCACAGTTAGCTTCTCTCTTCCCAGACACATATTGCAAGGCATATGTATGTATACGCACCGGCTTCTCTGGATAGAGCCATCATCCGCTTGTACTCCTTGAGATGCTTCTTTTCTTCCTTCTGGTCCTTTGGAGGCAGCCAGCTGGGCCGTGTCCGAGACAGAACCTTCTCCTTCTCCTTGCTTATCGGCAGCGGATCAATCATGATATTCGGCCTCTGCAGCGGCGGAAGCTCAATCATCCCGCCAGAACCTCGTTTCCCACTCGGTACCGGCCTCGGCTTCAGCCCGGCCTGCACTCTGGCCTCGTGGTCCCGCGCAGCTTCGTCAGCGTGAAACTCCAATGCTTCGGTGATGATCCTGGCTTCCTCCGAGAGCTCTGACATGACTACGTTCCAGGTGTTGGCTTTGGGACCCCGACGGTCTGGCGAGGGAGCTGGACTGGCGGTGCCGCGGGACACTCGCGGGCTGGGGCCCATGGACCGTGACCGGCCCCGTCTGTGTTTTGGTCTGTACTTGGGCGTAGCGCTGCCAGGAGGCGGGGAGGTCGAGCGAGAAGAAGGAAGCTGGGGCGCGGATTCATGTAAGGGAATCGGTCTCGGACCTGGACTGCGGCTCTGCGAGCGACTGCTGTCCCGGCCTCTCGGACGCTCGTCCTGCGGGCGTGGAGAGATGGGGACGTTCCATAGTGTGGCGTCCTCGGGGAGATCCTCATCCGAATCATGATACTCCTCCTCCAGCTCCTTGACGGACTTACGACTCGGCTGTCGCGACGGAGGTCGAGGAATGGAGGCCGTGGAAGAGCCAGAAATGCCAGAGTCGCCACGGGCAAACGGAGGAGGGGGGCGGCTCCTCGACCGACTCCTGCCACTACCGCTAGGCGAAGGGGAGCGGGACTGTTGTTGACGTTGTTGGTGTTGTTGCTGCTGCTGTTGTTGCTGCTTTTGTCTGTTTCTAGACGGGGCGAGGAGTAGAGAAGGGTCAGACGTGCTGCTCAGCGCTCGTCTGGCCGAGGGTGGCTGTATAGATAGTGCTTGCATAGACTGGTTGATGCCATTGACGTGAGGAGTGGACTGCGCGAATCCGCGGCGGCCGTAGGTGCCATTGTTATTATTATTATTGTTATTGTTGCTGTTGGCAGCGTGATGACTGCCATGAGGACCGCCCACACCACTGCTCTGCCTGCTAGCAGGGCCGGTCAGGTCTCTCATGGTCATGACTGCGGTGTTGCTCTTCGTGCGGGCCGCCACCTCTGGGTTCTTGCTGTGCAGGTTCTTCGGGTGGTGGTGGTGCTGCTTGTGCCTGAGGCTCTGTTTCTTGCCCGGCACACTCGTCGACCGCACGGGATACGGTCCCTGGTCGAAGTGGCGGTGGTCTAGGGCATTACTGCCGAACTGCGCAACCAGGTCATCTTCCAGCGCGATGTCCTCGAAGTTGGAGATGTCCGCAAACACGCCATCGGGGTTGGACTGGTGCGAGGATGTGTGGAAGGAGGAGGACTTTGACGATTTCGACCCCGACAGGTCAGGGGGCGAGTCCGGTACAGCCGCAGATATCGTACTCATCGCATTCCAGCGTATTCCTCGCTCCCTCCGACGTTCTACCTTGTGTCTATCTGCAGGTCTGCCTGGCGGGCGTCTATCCGGGTCCGTCTATATTGCCGCTGTACAACGCAGGCGGGATCGGTCGTGAACAGGAGAAAAAGCGAGTATAAGAATGACAATGAACGGCAGAGTCGTCCGCGAGCTGTCGGCCCTTAACACAGAGAGAAAGGAGATGCCCCAGGCTGAACCAGAGCTGAAGGGCCAGGAAAATACGGACGATCTCGCAGGGGGGGGTAAGAGACGAGAAGTTGGCTAGATCTAACTTTCCCCTTGGATCCTGCGGTGGAGATGCAGCAGGTTCAGCAGGCGGCCGGGCTGCAGTGAGGGAAACGACTGACAACAGCACAAGGAGACAAAGAGACAAACGAGAGACAGCGAGCGCTGTAAACGAGCAAAACGAAGGCTGTAAAAGCGCAAAAGTCGCGATGTCGAAGTTGAAGTCGAAGTTGAAGTCGAAAAAAGCCAGAAAAGTCGAAGAGAGAAGAGATGCTCACGTGACTTTCTCCATGTGGCTAGTGTGGCTGATTCTATCACGTGATGGATTAAATAGGACTAGCGTTAGGGCAAGCCACCGCCACAGACGGAAAGCGGTGAGTCACGTTGCTTTTTTTCTGCCAAACGCAATTTCAAGTCTTGGCGTTTTTTCAGGGGTAAAAAAGGCTATTTTTAGACTTAAACAATATAAAAAAAGGCGACGTCGATGTTGATATTGGAGATATCGATGAAGATATTGATAGAGATATTGTGATAGAGGCGGTGAGTAGAAGCGATGGTAAGTAGGAGTGCTGTGCTAGGTCGATGTAGAGAGAGTGGGTGGGGCTACAGCGAGGGTTGTTATGGGCCTGCGACTGCCCGACGGAGCCTGAAGTGCTCGCGGTCGGTGGGCGGCCTGCAGGCTCGCAGAAGCGCATCCAGCCAGCGCAGAACAGGCGCATAGTAGCTCTGGCGGCGGGACAGCACACGGCGAAAGGCCGTGGCTCCTAGCCAGCGCACCTGGCGCGGTGTGACGCTGCACTCGAAGCCGGCTGGAACCCCTGAAGCTGCGGGCGCAGTCCGGACTCGGCAGGCCCCATACTCCAGCACCGCGGTGATGGTCGAGATGAGCAGGCCGGGCGAGCAGGAACGGGATCGAGCAGAGGAATACCGCTGCATGACCTGGTAGTACACGCGGGTCTTCAGGGCACACTCGGCAAAGCAGCGGAAAAGGCTGGCCAGCACGACGGCGGAGGACGAGTGTTTCGTGTCGAGAAACATCGTCTGAGCCTGCATCTGAAAGGCCTTGAGGGCCTTGCGGGTGAACTCCTGGCCCGGCGGGCGTGTCATGTTGACCGTCAGCGAGTCGTGGGTGCTCACGGCGCCGTTCTTCCCTTTGGCCCTATCAGCGCGGCTGCCAGCGCCAGCGTCGATGATGAGACTCGTGGCCGATCGATCTCTGGTGAGAGCCAGAGATTTCACGTCGATCAGGGCGCCGCAGAACAGGAGCTGGCGTCCCTCGAGACGGGGGATATGCCTGCCCGCGATGTTGACGTCGAAATTAACCAGCGTCTTCTCCGGGGCAACGGATATGCCAAACTCCTCATCCCCGTCCAGCATCACTTGCAGGAACCGCTCGGCAAGCCTCCTGTCGGTGCTGATAAGCAGGTAATCGTCAACATACCGCATCAGCAAGACCGGGGCCGACGCCTGGGGCTCGCGCAGAAAACCCAGCCGCTCCTCTTCATGCTGGCCATAGAAGAAGTTGCACAGCAGATTGGAGACCACGGATCCTTGCGGAATCCCCCTTTTCTGGCGGTAGTATTTCTTCCCGATCTTGACCAGGTTGTTGCGGATATGCTTCTCAAGCAGGGCTAGCAGGTCGTCCCGTGTATGGGTCCGGTGCCAGCCATTCTCAACATACACTGCTGGTGCACCGCCACACCTGCTTTTGCGGTTAGAGCTGCTGCTGCTGCTGCTGCTGCTGCTGTTGTTGTTGTTGCTGCTACTGCACTGGCCAGGCGTTGTTGAGGATGAGGATGAAACAGCGTCGAATACGGGTTGGAAATCATCAGAGGCTGCTGCTCGCCATACGAACCTCCTCGTTGGTTTGTTCCTGTTGGGCTCCCGGGGCTGCTGTTTCACTTGTTCCCGCGACGGCCCGCTTGTAATAATGCTAGGATGAAACTCCGTGTGCTTAGAGAGACGGTACGAATCGTCAACCACCAGCGTATCGACTAGTTGCATCAGCCTTGCCTGAGGGATTGTGTCGAAGCAGGCCTGGACATCCAATTTAACAAAGTACAGCGGGCCGTTAGCTCGTGTTGGTGATGCCTTAATTTGCTCCTTGAACTTTTTTAGCCGGGGATACATTGCGGCCGTTGACGAGAGGCCTGATCCTACGGATTCCGGGCACTGGTCTCGTTCGTAGCAGAGGACCTGGAAAAGGGGGTCGAGCTGGGAGTTTATGCTCGATCCAAGGAAGGACTGTCCATGTCCAGACCGTCCCTTATTATTCTTGAGCACCGGCCGTCTCCTGAGGTTAGCTATGGGCCTGGCACCCTGGGACTTGGGCAGGAGTCTAATGTGGCAGTAACCCAGGGATTCGCCGTTGAGCAGCCGTTCCGCTTTACTGTGTTTGATACCCTGGAAGAGCGTGGACTTGAGGTCCGCCATGACGGGCTCGGACAGGCGTTTCCATACATCATGTCGAAAGTAGAACAGTCTGTGCTTATACGTGCTCGACTCCGTCAGGTAGAAATTGGATCTGACCAGGGGGATGAGCAGGGAGTCAAACAGGTAATATATGAGCTCGAGAAATATCTCTGTCCTCTTTCGATAATCTGACAGAGCTAGTTTATGGTTGGTGTGGTGGTGGTGGTTGTGGTTGTGGTTATGGTTTCCTGGCTGCCCCTGATCTGTGCAACCCCCCTGTTGACACGGAGGAGAGAGCCAGGCGACACATCCGATCCTGAGCCCCTGAACGACCTCGTGGAGAGACATGGTTTCGAAGCGGCGCAGAGAGAGGAACCGGTCGACGTTGCGCATGACAACGGCTCTGTTGTGGAGGCCATCTTCGCCGCGTCCGTACAGCTCATGTGGTATCACTTTCTGCAGGACTGCACGACAGAAGGCTGAGACCGCATGTGTTGGAGTTGCATAGTCTGTCATGCTAACTTTTTCGTTTCCATTGTTTATTGTTTTCTACATGTTGTTAATTTAGTCCCCTTAACATAAGAAAATATGTTTTATGGTAGAAGAATAAAAGGGGTATACCTTTGGACAGTAATGCCGGAGTAGCTCTACATAGGAACATCGGGCATGTCTCTTCTGCATACGCTGGATCAACTCGACTAGTCTACCTCGCAGCCGTCGGGGGATCTTATCTCCCGGCTTCAGGGCAATCTCCTGCTCTCTCAGCGAGTAGTCCTTGAACGGCATGGTTGTCTCCGTCCTGGTGACTGTAGAGGTAAAGACGTTGTGAAGACCAAACTGGCGAGGAAAGATGTGCTTCATAACATGTACTGTATGGTTGATGCTGGTCTCCGGGTATCTATTCAGCACATCTGTAGCTACCCGTCAGTATCTCTGCTGGCCTGTTGATAAGCAACGACATACGAATATGCTGCAGTCCCATCTTGGGCTCCCCCTTTGCATTCAGCGCCGGGCGAGAATAGAACATCCGTCGACGCACAAAGACAACTTCATTGGGCTTTCTAGGAGCGTCTTTCTTCTTCAGGGCGTCCAGTGTCTCCATACTGGACAGTGTCGTCCCTGTTCCTGTTAATATCAATATATCAACTGTATATAAAAGGTCAAAAACTCACCACTGAGCTGGTAGTAAGACTGGCCCTGGAGACGGATGAACAACCCGCAGTCCAGCAGTAGATGGAGCATGATATCCTCGCTGTTGTCGCCCAGCATGTCCATGACGTCTGTCCAGGGAGCACTCTTGAGCATCGAGACGCTCCTGTTCGGCAGCTTGGGGACGATGCCTGGTATGCCGGACGCAAAGCCGCACTCCCGGTGTGCAGCCATGGGCTCTGCAGCACGCTGGTATCCATGGCTGAGGATGTGCTGGGGCGTCACCTGTGGTCCAGCCGGGTTGAACAGGCTGTATATCGCGAAGTTGACCACCTATTCCAGTCAGTACTGTATACACTCATTGTATACGGGTATAAACAGAGGTGTAAGCATAGGTGTAAACATGGGGTATAGGAGTCTCACGTCCGCGATGTCAGTGGAAGCACCAACGTCCGTCGCGTCGAAGTTCGAGGCCATGGCCTGCGACTGAGTAAAAGCTGCGAGCTCTCTCTGCCTGAGGACGCTGACTGCCGGGCTGGCGGGCTTCGAGATGCCTACGATGGTCGAGTCCAGCAGGTCTGCCAGTCGCTGTCTAGAATCACCAGCATCACCAGCATCACCACCAGCAGCATCACGCCCACCTGGAACGCCGTCTGTCTTCTGCTTCTTCCTCTGTCTCGTCTTCAGCTGCGTCTGCTCCCTCCCGACAAGCTCTATCCTGCGTCTTCTGGCCGTCGAGCAGGCCGGCAGCAGCTCCAGCAGATACGTCCTCAGGCTGAGCAGCCGCGGATAGTAGAACGCCAGCACGGCCTGCCTGATCTCTGCATCCTGAGGCGCAGAATCACCTCCATCGCCGTCTCCATTGCTGTCTCCGTCTCCGTCTCCGTGTCCCTGGGATCTCTTCCTCCTGCCCATGGCTTGTCTGTGTTGCTGTTTGCTGCCGCTGCTGCCGGTAGCTGCAAGTAGCTGTACACGGCGCTGAGGTGGCAGCGCCGTGCAACGCAGCGAGTGACAGTGACCGTCCTACGTACTCGTATCCCTCTCTCTATGTCTACTGTTTACTTCTGTCATTGCCTGTTACTGACTATCTAGTGTCTTAGGTGTCATTGACGGCGTGTTTCTATGCCGCCCTGCTCGAGATAAAGACGTCCAAGACGGCAGACAAAGGTCAGCACTTAATCTACGGCCTAATATAAGATAAATAATAACCAGCATGAAGCATGAACAAAGAAGCGGACGAGCAGGAGAAGAAGAAAAGAAGCCGAAGATCCAGCGGGCCTCCTGAAATCAAACCCGAAACACTCGCGCTGCCGCCGACCAAACCTGCTCGCTGGCCTACCAAACATCGACGGTAGTGCCTCAATAACCTCAGCTCAACTGCCGGGCGAGGCCATCATCTAACTGATACTGGCCCTGCGACGACGCCCGTGGTACTCTAGAAGAAGCAAAGAAGCAACGGAGAGAGGAGAGAAGAAGCAAAGAGGGCGAAAACCCCACAGTCCAGCAGGTTCTTCCGTATCTTTAAGCGTAAAATGGAGATCCTCCAAGGCTAGATTTGAATTTATATCAAAGACAATATCAAGCCAGAGACATCAGACAGGATATTATTTACAGAGAAGAGCAAGTGCAAGAAGAAGAAGAAGAAGAAGACGTATAGTACAGGGGAAGAGAGAAGGGAGAGGAATGACTGCGAGATCATCCACGTCGACTTGCATGCTGCAGCTCCAACCTGCATGTCCACAACATCTCGCAGCCAGAGACAGCGAGACAGCAAGACAGCAAGACAACCAACCCAGCAACGAGACCGCGAGAGACAAAAGAGATGAGAAGATGAAGTGAGCCACGTCTTACAGGGTCTTACAGTCGGCTCCCTTGCTTTTTCCGCCTGCTTCTGCGCTCTGCTCTGCTGCCCTCTGCGCGCCGTTCGCTCGCCCGCCCTGTCCTGCCCTGTCCTGCCCTGCTCGCCCTGCTCGCCCTGCCCGGCCGGCCCTGAAAGGCCCCCCTAGATGAAGGCCCTCGCACCGAGTCTGCCATGTCCGCCATGTCTGCCATCGCCGCCGCTCGAGAGTGCGACCAGGACGAGCCCGCGGACGTCCTGCTGCCCCAGACGACCTACCAGCCCGCGGACGCCTTTGCCGACCCTCACGACTACTACCTGCAGCATCACCACCACCAGACCCACGACCAGAGCCATCACCACGGCCATCACCAGAGAGACAGCCGTCCCGGGAGCAGCAGCATAGGCAGAGGGAGAGGCAGCAGTCTCGCGGAGAGAGGGCTGCCGGATTTCTCTCTCTCGCCCAGCAAGACCCGGACGGCCACCGCTACTCCGGCCACTACGACGACTACACCAGTATCTACTACGACCTCAGCATACAAGAGCAGACAGTCCTCGCTGCAGGACCTCGTCAACCGGTTCAACCAGACGCCAGACGAGGTCGTGCCCAAGCCGTCTGCTGTCTCTGCACACGCCCATGCCCGGCCACCGCCCGCCAGACGGCCCCTGTTCGGCGAGATCATACCCAAGCCAGTCACCGCAGCTCCCGTCATCACCACGGCCACCACGACTCCAGCGCATCTACAGACGGGTTCAGGCTCGCGGAGGGCCAGGAGTGGCTCGGACAGCTGCATGCATACGCCCAAACAGCTGCATTTCCTAGACAGCGCGTTTGACCACCTGCCGCAGCACCACTATCAAAACTCGCAGCATCACCAGCATCACCAGCATCAAACACTGCAGACGCAGCAACAGACGCACCAGCAGACGCACCCGCAGACGCACCAGCATATACAGGTGGACTCGCCGACTGCATGGTATCTGCCTGCTCTCTCCCACAGACGCTCCCAAAGTGACCTGGGCTCCCCCGTCTCGCCGCAGCTGAACATGAACCCACACCCCATCTCGACCTCTTTTTCATCCCGCCAGTATCAGCACCAGCAGCTCTCGAGAATACCCCTGCCCTCGCGGCGTGCCAGCCAGGCCTCTGACTCAGGCAATTCCTCGCCCTCCACTCGCACAAACTCCGCTCTCGACCGGTATCCTCCTGTCTCGGGGCCTCTTCCGCCAAAGGGAATCAGCCTGCTCCCTAAGCCAACTTCTCCGCCAACTGCCTCCACCGCAACCTTCTCGCCTCGATACCGCAACCGATCCTGTTCGACAAACACCACTGCAACCACCGCAACCACCAGCTCGACCGCCAGCAGCCGTCGACAGCAACAACAACCACAACACCAACACCCTCATCATCAACATAATCAACATCCCATTTCGAGAGACCAGAAGAGTCCCACCCTGCAAGCTTTCATCTCTGCTCCGTTGCCCAAAAAGTCCCCCCCTCTACGCAGCTCTCGGCCAAGACAACCTGTTTCAAGCGCCACCACCTCTGCCTCCCGCGCTAGGCTTGTAGATCGTATCTCTGGGCTCCAGTCCAAGGACGGCCGCGCCGCTTCTGCCTCAGCTTCTGCTGCTTCCCATCCCACCACCGCCGGCTCTAGATCAGCCTCTGCTTCCAAGAAACCGCCAGAGCTGGGAAACGTCGATTTTGCCGCAAGAAGGCAGCGGATTCAGCAGGCTTTCAACCGCACCGTGGAGGAGAATGCTAAGAAGGAGGAGCGAGCTGCTGTACGACGAGAGCGCGAGATTGCCAGGAAGATGGCCAGACAGGAGAAGCTACAGCCACAGCCACAGCTTGATGATCAACAACAACAACAACAACAACAACAACCTGAACAACAAAATCAACAACTTGATCAACCTCAACCCGAAGCTTCTACTGTACCTGAACCTCAACCCGTACCAGTCCCTGAACCTGAACCACAGATATTGGACCAAGTGGAAAAATCGACTGAACCTGAGCCACAACCAGAAACAGAATCAGGAACAGGAACAGGACCAGAAACAGAACAAACGGCTGCTGATCCAACGCTCGTGCCCGAAGAATTATCTGAACCAACGACAACGACAACGACAACAACAACGGCTGAACCAGCAAAAATTATAATAGAAGAAGAAACAGAACAGACGACAACAGCCGGCGACCAGCCGGTGAATAATGACTGCGTAGAGCCGCAATTCACCCCTGAAGAGCATAATAATGATGATTCCTTCGTTACGCCCCAGGAGGGCCGTTCTCCCGTCCTACTCCCTGTAACCTACCAACCAGATCAGCAACCAGAAGCCCAGCAACCCCTCGACATGGCTCTACACAACCCCTACAGGCCCAAGACCCCAGAATCAGACAATACAGATGCAGTACCGCAGTCTGCCGTCACCGTCGGCACAGAAATCACTACCTTCGACCCAGAGCCACAGGATGGCCTGCTCACTCATAGAACCATGCTCAACCACATCATGCAGATGCGAGAGTCGAGCCCAAGCATCTCCGGCACTTCGGACGGCCATGATGATGAGCACGATACTGAGCACGATGATACTGAGCATGACGACAGCACCGCAGACGATGGAGAGTCTATACGCATTATGCTCCGCCGCTCAAGATATCTCGAGTCGATAGCTCGCCAGCACGAAGTGGGAAATCCCCGTCATAGATGGAGCATGAGCTCGTGGGACTCTTCCTTTCAGGGGCATCCGCCACAGGGCGAAGCAGAAGCTGTGTCTGACCTCGGACAGGAGGATGAAGCCCTGACTAAAAATCAGGAACAGGAAGACAGCTGTGAGAGCTCCCACTCATTGCACGAAAACGCGACGACTCCACAGCCGATCTTCCCGCCGTCCCCACCATGCGAGGCCGACGAGGTACACAACCCTGGCATATCCTCCATCAAGCAGCAGCAACAACAGCAGCAGCGGCTTCATGAAAGTCATGACGTCGACGATGACAGCAGCGAGTCCCCTGTGCTAGGGAACGATGATCATGCTGTCATTGCTTCCCTCGAAAGACGGTTTAGCATGAACATGGCCAACCACTACACTACCATCGCCAAACAGGCCCGCTGGGATTCCAAGCGAGCTACGCAATTGTATCTTCAGGAGCTGGCAAAGGCTGGCTACGAACGCCCGCGCGTACCGATCCTGACGCCCGGAAGCAGTGAGAGTGAAGGGAAGAGGCTCTCCGCTCACGACAGCGTAAGTAGAGGCACGGATGATGGGGACGGCGAGGACGGCGTGCTGGTGGCAGACTCTTCAACGATACCTACCGCTGAGTTCTTGCCAGCCAGAGCAAGCCTGCATCTGCGAGATGATTGGGAGACATCACCCTCTATCGCGGACTGGATGCATCTGGCGGCCGGCGAGGACGAGATGCAGCCGCCTCAGTCTCAGTCTCAGTCTCAGTCTCAGTCGCAGCAGCAACCACATCTTCCCCAGCCCGAGCATGAATATCAACAACACCAACGCCAGGCCACAGATGCCACGGAGATTCCGCATCCTTCGACCTCTACTTCAACCTCCTCACCAGCATCCCCATCTGCCTCAGACCAAGAGGGCGCTGAAACCCCTCGGATCGCTGGGCCACCTCAGTTTGCCTCCATAGACGGGACCGTTGAGGGACTAGGACTCGAAATCCGTGTCCAGTCACCACAAGATGGAGACTCCCCTACTATACCGTCACCGTTCCATATGCACCTCCCCGTGCCCTCGCAGCCTCATCATCCACCGCCTCCACCCCCTGTTACTTCTTCGACCTCACCCGCTGCTGTGGAAGATCAACACCAGCAGCACCAGCACCAGCACCAGCACGCTGTTAGCGTCGAGGTATCTCCCAGCGTATACGCTAACTCTCCCCCTACAAGCCCAATGCCTGCGCTACCAACGTTCCACGATGCACCGCCCAGCAGTCGAAGCGAGGACTCGTTACACATCACTCCTCCGCATACCATTTCCTCCTCGACCTCTCACACGCAGGACAGACCGTCGTCCCTGGCACCGGAAACGACCTCTGCGTTCCACGACATACTAGACCCCGCGTCCCGTATCTCGCCTACCCCTGAAGAACGACGCCTCAAGAAACGACGGAATGTCATCAAGGAACTCGTCGACACCGAATACACCTTCGGCCAAGACATGACCGTCGTCGTTGACATATACAAGGGTACATCGAGCTCCTGTCTCGGCCTGTCGCCGGAGGACATCAAGACCCTATTCGGCAACTCAGAGCAAGTCGTCCAGTTCTCCATGGACTGGCAGGATGCGCTCAAACAAGCCGCTAGAAGTGTCTATATTCTTCCCAAGTCTCAGCGTTGGAGTAGTAAGCGCAGCAGCAAATGTACCCAGAACAGCTCTGCGACTAGCAACAGCCCTGAGCCGCAGCAAATAGCCGACGAGGAGAATGATCGCAAGACGGCCATCGGGGAGGCATTCATGGCTAACATCGAGAGGATGGAGGCTGTTTACTCTGATTACCTGCGTAACCACGACGCAGCAAATAGGACACTCGAAGTCCTGCTGAAGAATAAGAATGTTAATATCTGGCTGAAGGAGTGTCGCGAGTGGGCTGCTGACCTTACATCTGCATGGGACTTGGACTCGCTTCTCGTCAAGCCCGTCCAGCGAATCCTCAAATACCCGCTTCTTCTCACTGAGCTGCTAAGCGCAACGCCATCGGATCATCCGGACTACACTGCCATATCAAATGCCCTCGCAGCCACAACGTCCATATCCGTACGCATCAACGAGATGAAGAAACGCGCCGATCTAGTCGGCCAAGTGGTAGGCAGCGGACGGAAACGAAAAGAGTCAGACGTCCGCGCCGGTCTGTCAAAGGCCTTTGGTCGACGCACTGAGAAACTGAAGCAGCATGTCGGTATCACGGAGATGTTCGCAGATAAAGAATATGATATTCTCAGCCAGCGGTTTGGAGATAATTTCTTCCAGCTGCAGCTTGTCATGCGCGATGTAGAAGGGTATCTGAGCGAGATCCAAAGCTCAATGAACAAGTTTAACGACTTTATCGTGGCCGTTGAGAGGTATATAAATCTCGCGCCCTCGAACTACCCCGAGCTCGAGAGTAAATGGTGTCGATTTCGGTTGGCCGTCAAGGACGTTATGACCGTCGCTCTAGTCGACCATGTAAGTCTTATTTATATATAACTATTCCTTCCACCCCTTTTCATTGAAGTTTAATGTCTAACAGCCTGTGGGGGGTATAGATCGCCCAAGTGCGGAAGAGCGTAATAACGCCGATGGTGACGCTATTGAAACTCCACGATGGGCCACAGCGAGTCATGCAAAAGCGTAATAAGCGACTGATGGACTATGTAAAGTACAAAGCCATCAAGGACCGAGGCGACAAGCCCGACAAGAAGATCACCGAGCAAGGAGAACAGTTTGTGGCGCTCAACATGGCGCTAAAGGATGAGCTACCGAAACTCTTATCGTTGACTGGCAAGCTGATGGAAGCTTGTCTGAACGCCTTCGTCCAAATCCAAGCCAGGTGGCTTAACCTGGTCCAGTCGAGGCTAGGCTACTCCATCGAGAGGCTCCCACAGGATGTCAACCAGATCATCACCGATTGGTCCGGGGATTTCTCGTTCAGTGAAGCCCAGGTGCTTTCTCTGGGTGTGTGCAACGGCTCCATACTTGCTGACACGGCGCTGGTGAACAATTACAGCTCCCCTCCACCTTCTCATGGGGCAGACGCTAGCTCCTCTCGCCGTCCGTCAACGGTCAACAGTGCCACTGGCCGTACATTCTCCGGTGAATCAGGGAACTCACCCAAGGGTTCTCACGAATTCCTCTCGCGAAGCCCAGAGAATATGATACAGACTCCTCCCAGCACAGGCTTCATGCAGCATGGAAACGGCTCGTATGTCTTCCCAGCATCATCCGGTTCCCGCACCAGAGCCAACTCGACGTACTCCGTGAGAGCGCAGGACGTGACCAGCAGCCATATCCCCTCAATACCCTCGATAATAAACTCTTCTACACGCTCCAGCGTCACAGCTCAAAGCGGTAGCAACGCCTCATTCCGAACATCAGACGCTTCTCCCAAACTGCCTCTTCTCTCCCTAGATACCCCCCGCCTCGAATTCTTCCCCGACCACCTCATGAGCAGTAGCAGGTACAATGTCAATGTCAACGGTAACAACAACTCCAACAATCGCAACAGCAATCACCACGTTGCTCCTGATCCGGCCGACCATCCCTCCTCTCCCTCAGCAACGCGGTACTCAGGCTTCTTCTCCTCCGCCATGCCTATGGCCGAGAACCCTGAACCATCATCACGTTTCCATTCTCACGCCAGTATCCCCATGAACCGCAGCGTCAGTGCCGGCGCCAGTAGCCATGCAAGCTATCCCTCAGCACCGAAGGAACCTTCCATCCTCTTTCTGGCCGCCAGCATGTTTGAATTCAATATCGATCGAGCCAGACGAGAAGCAGGGTATCCGTATCTAACCTATGTGGCTGGTGAGATCTTCGACGTCATAGGCGAGAAGGGTGATCTGTGGCTTGCTCGAAACCAAGACGATCCCACGCACCAGGTCGGCTGGATATGGACGAAGCACTTCGCCAAATTGGCAAGCTGACAATAAAAGCAAAAACCAGAAAGGAAAAGAAAAAGGCCATATCAATGATTTATATCCATCGTTATGTTTTCCTATTTATCTTTGACCCAGATATATCCCTGTCTATCCCTGAGACAAACTCATTTCCTTTATCTTTTTCTCTCTTGTCTTCTTATCTTGTCTATTTGTCTTGTCTATCATCTCCTTTGTTATTTGGGCGATAATTTTGAACTCATCAGCATGTTTCTCTCCTTTTTTTTTCTGTCTGTCAGTTTGTTTTCCACATCCTTATATCCTATCCGTATCGTTTCTGTCTTTTTTGTTTTTCCTTTTTTTTTTTTTTTTTTTTTCTCAATGGTGACTATGGTATTGGGCGGATTTGGAGGGGGCATCCTATATCTTCACAGCTGCAACTTGACTACATATACCCCGGCGCCCGGAACATACACAAACAACAACAACTATAACTACTACTACAACTACTAGTACTACTACAACATCTACATCTACAACCTACTCTCCGACTACAAGAAAGGAAAAAACTATGCAGCTCGCTATAACCTTCGAGCCCGGGAAGAAGAAGCAGCAGGAAAACGAGACGAGTCAGCCAACCCACCCTTATATCCCCCCCTTTTTTCTCGTTCGACTTTTATCTTTCCCTTCTGTCTTCATCTTTAGGGCATGCCCAACGCTGCTATACCTGTTTTTTAATCGCTGCTACTTATACCTTTCATGTAAATCTAGATTATCTTCTTCATCTTCATCTTCATCTAACTCCTTTTTTATGCCAAGAACTATGACTTCATTCTCCACGTGACATCTTCTTTTTCCTACCGAAAATCCGGGGGGGAAAAAGCGACTTTTTGTAGAGGCAAAAAAAAAATAAAAATAAAAAGCACGAAGAAGTAAGTAAATTATTATTGCGTATTTTTATTTGCAGACTGCGAGGTTCGAGACCGGCCGGTTTCCTTGCGCTGTTTGAACATATTTTGGTGGCGGGTTGCTTCTCCGCATAAAAACAAGTGCTGGTGGCGCAGTTGGACTTGCTCTAACAACTCCATCTTGATCCTCTCTTCCTCATCTCTATATCTCTTGATCTTCGTCTCTTCATCTCTCCCTTTCTTCGGTCTATGTCGCCGCGTTCCCTCTATATGCGACATAGATATCTACATTCCCTCCCTTAATCCCACAGACGACGAGAAGAGCCATCGTGTCTTTACACTCCGGCAAGCGGCGAAGACTTGTGAAGATGGTTGATGGAGGTTTCGGCCGCCTCAAGAACAAGTTAAGAGAACATTTCAATCATGAGGTTAGTGGCTTGTGAATGTCTCTGCATGTCTTGCTGTGCTCTCATCGTTTGCGGCTGTTTTTGTTTCGGGCTCGTTTGCTTAGCCGGTGTTTGATATAAGCTTGCACGACATGCTTGCTGGCTGCCAAACCGCCTTATCTTGTTTGGACGGAAGAGATGTAAGACGGTGTCAGTATATATCAATCACGGGAAGCCAAGTCATGGTCTCGTGGAAAATCCTGGCTGTCTGCTTTTAACTGTCTGCTTTGTGTTTTTGCTGTTGCAGCCCTCTCGTTGCAATGGCTTTATATCAGAGACTTGCCCGTCAGTTGTACAGATATATAAATGCTAACATGTTCAAGGGTCCGGACGATATCTACCTGACCTGTAAGTGATACAGTCGGAATTTTACCGGTGCGTGGTTACTGTGATAGATTTTACTGACCATGAGGGCTTCTCAAGACTACGATGCAAGCAGTGAGTGATCCTTCTCCTATTTTCCAGATATCTTCCTACTAACACATTACATAGTCACATATGAAGATTATAATACGCTCAAGTCCGACTGGCTGACGGACAACGTGATTGGGTTCTGGGAGGAGTATGCTCTCTTTATATGTCGGCAATTTAGACCGATATTTTTACTGACTTGTTCCGCAGATATTTGGAGCATGAATTGCTCTCGTTTTATAAGACTCACATCATCCTCCTTCGACCTAGCATGTCATTTCTCCTGTTCCAGACTCCAGATCCAAAGACACTGGGCAACGCTTTACCTGATTTCAGTCGTGCTTCTCACATTTTCCTACCCATCAACGACTGTCAAAATGGCATGCAGGCCGAAGGCGGCACTCACTGGTCTCTGCTGCTTGTCTCCCTCGCAGACCAAGTAGCTTTCCACTATGACTCCCTGCCACCTGGAAACATTACCGAGGCACACGCAGTTACGGAAAAGATCAGCCTCATCTGCGAAAAGCCCATCAAATTCATGCAGATGCCTGATTGTCCCGTACAACAAAACAACAATGACTGCGGAGTATTCGTCTGCATGATGATGAGATATCTCCTTCAGCATCGGCTCCTGCAAGCAAATTCGAAGGAGTACATCACCATGGCCCTGGACGGCGTTCCGCTCGACCCGGCCGAGGCACGCAAGGAAATAGTGCAGATTATCCACCAGTTAAAGAGGGACAGAGACCGGAGAAGATCGTACGTAACTTCATCCGCTGATCCTGCTGCAGCATCGCGCATATTTGCAAAGCCTCGCTCCATCATTGCCCGCACCCAATCTTCCCCTGCCCCTGCCCACGGCACACCCGCTACTGCTTCCTCCGCAGGCTCTCCTGCCTCGACTCGCCCTCGCCACTCCAGAGCCTCTTTGTTTACTTATTTCGCTATCTGTGCCTTTATTATTGTTTTGATCGCGGCTGCTCTTGCCTTCTACCTCCCTGATATCAACATGACGTCTCTTTACCACGGCTACACACACATTCAGCCTCCTGTGTGTGGCGAATATTGTCACAAGCTCGACTCTGTTCTTTCCTCAGCCCGTTCTCAGCTCTCCCCCTATCTTTTGCAAATGCACGAACAATTGAATGATCTCCATGACTTTGGGAGGGAGTACTTTGCTAAGGTGTATGATGTGTTCTCCCGTTTGAGAAGAATATAGGTCGAGCAGCAAGCGAAAGCCTAAACCTCCGTCGCCCGAAAGTCCTCTGAAGAAAAAGATGAAACTTGCTGTCGGACTTGAGGATTAGACTACTACTACTACTAATTAGGACTACAGCTGTTCCTCTGAAATACTCTGTTGCCTTTCTCTGCATTGATTTTGTTTTTATAGCTAGCCTTTGATAGATGCGCCCCGTTATGCGCATCTAAGCAAGCCGGTGATACCACTACAGTTAACTAGCGTTTGATATATCCTAATATTCCCCTTTTGCACTCAGTTTTCTCGTGTGAAGATGAAGTAATGAGTTATGCGGCACGCAGTCAGGAAAATACGTTGTATAATATTGGGTATCCGGGTAATTTCTAATGGCGGCTGGATCGCCGAGCCTAGCCAACTAATATTTAACTAATTCCTCCAGCTAGCTAATTAATTAATTAATTAATCTATTCAACAACACTGTGCATTTACAATAAAGAATGATGCGGTTACATAGAGCTCACTCAGTAAGTACAGATCAAAAATGTAAATATTATGGAACATGGCTCTAAGCAATCGCAGTGCTTGGTCAAAAGCCGGCTGTTCTCAACCAGCGCGGCGCTACATCGGCAAAACCGCATTCCAGCCTCATATTACCGCGGCGGAACTTCAAGAGGGCTGATATTCCAGAAGAAAGACCTGCCTGCCTCTCAAGATGACTGGAAGCCCATCTTGCTGGGCACCATGGGCTCTCCGGACCCTCATGGCCGCCAACTTGACGGGCTTGGGGGCGGCTTGTCCAGTCTATCAAAAGTCTGCATCATATCGCCAGCATCAGACCTGAGTCGGGCCCAGGGAGCCCAGGTGGACTTCACCTTTGCTCAAGTTGGCATTAAATCAACTGATATCGACTACTCCGGAAACTGCGGGAATCTGTCCAGTGCCGTGGGCCCGTTTGCCATCGACGCGGGACTGGTTAAACTGGGCGAAGACGAGCTCAGGGCCGGTAAAGGGACAGCTACCGTTCGCATATTCAATACAAATACCCAGAAAATAATCGATTCTACATTCCCCATATGCGTTTCACCTGACGGCAGCGTCGAGGCCGAAGCCAGTGGTGACTTTACTGTGGACGGCGTTGCTGGATCCGCATCAAGGATCCAACTCGACTTTATCAATCCGGCTGGAGCTAAGACGGGAACATTGCTGCCTACAGGGAACTTGGTCGATACCTTTGACGGCGTCCGAGCAACGTGCATCGATGTCGGGAATCCGATGATTTTCGTCCCGGCTTCTGACCTACCGGTTGACGGAAAGATATCTCCGAACCAGATATCTTCTACACCCGGTCTACTTGAGCGGCTAGAGAAAATAAGATCCCAGGCCGCTATTAAGATGGGAATGGCAACGACAGTAGATGAAGTTCCGGCGTCTATCCCGAAGATCAATATTATCTCTACACCTGGCGAGGAGGGAGTTGACATCACTGTCAGGACTATCTCTGTTGGCCAGCCGCACAAGGCCCTCCCCATCACTGCCGGGCTTAGCCTTGCAGTGGCTACGAAACTTGAAGGGTCAATTGTGAGACCGTTTGTCGCGAAGACGAATAAAGCTGCTGGGGATCCTGTTGTTATAGGCCATCCTGGAGGCACATTGGCCGTCGGTGCAGAGATCAAGGATGGCGATAGTAAAGTGGTTGAAAGAGCCACGGTGTATAGATCCGCCAGGCGGCTGATGGATGGCCTTGTATATTGGAAATAATATTTGATATATTATACCCAGGTTAATTCGCTAGTTAGATGTTATATAAAGGAAAAAAATTTATAAAGCAAAGTAAAGGGAACCTGGTTGCTTCTAGGTATATTTGAGCGTCATGTATTGCTGTGGTGGGAGTGTCTAACTTGTCCGGCCTTCCAAATCGAAACTGGAGTATAACAAAGCGGGCATATCATCCAGACATGACCGTTAGTACCAGGGCTGCCGTATTCTGAACTGAACTCATGAGGAGTTACTAACATCAATCTTTACACAGTCAAATGGTCCCCTGAGCAGGCTAAGCGCCTTTGGTCTTTCCGAGTACAAAGACGCATTGACAACCCAGAGTATAAACAACGGTCATCATTAGGACTGGTGGCCGGGGTATTATATTGACATGGTGCAAATGGTCAAGCCACATCAGTGTATGACGCAGAGCTCATCTAAAGAAGTATTGTATTCGCTGTGCTTTGCGGATCAACTGGAATGGTCGTCAGTTGTCCTTCCTTTCACCAATGTCGTGATTTGGAGACATACCCAGCCACATATTACTATGTGTCGGGCATATACCCTTGTAAATAGCAAAGAGTGCTATCATTTTGTCGTTTATGCACCTTGGATGTGCCATAAGAACCTCGGTGATCGAGGATTCGGCCTTGAAATAACCAGGAAGAAAATGATATTGCTAGTTATCAGCCAATTACAAATTAAGATTATTGTCAATATTTTATAGTCTTCTCATTGGCTGAAATGAAGATAGAGCCTCAACCCATACTTACTAAGCAATAACCCCACTAGACGACCCAGAGTTTAATTTAACTTAGCCGAACCTTAACGTTGTTTGATATGACTCAAACTCAAAGTGATATATAAACAGCACTCTTGGAAAGACTCATTTCCAAATTGACTACAGACCGATTGTCAATACAAACCATGGCTTCCACATCTATTCAGGGCCTTGAGGCCCTCCTCCAGTCTCTGAAAGTCTCGACTCCAATACCACAGTTTCCCCAAGCCAATGTTTTATCCGCTCCAGCAGATATTTATCGCTCGTATATTGCAGAGGTCATTCAAAAGCTAGTCGATTGCGATAAAGACACTGCATATGGCGCCGTTCAATGGGCCAATGCGGCTACAAACGCCGATTTAATGCTTATTACAGCCCGTTTAAAGTTGAAAGGAATCAATCCAAAGCAGCTAGCCGAAGATATAGTGTCAAAGGTATATATTCCTACATTCAATATCAATGGATCTATAACTAGATATTGACTAGATAGTTCCCATCTACTTCATTGCTGCGCCAGCCGACGGCCAATGGGATATTTATACCCCTCTCGTTCTGTCCAGACACACTACCAAAGTTGATATTACCCTTCATCTTTGACCGTCGAGCATCCTATGGATCGAACTCGCTTCAGGGACTCCGGAACCCTCACGATCAAAGCGCTGGCAAGAAAAAAGTCATAATAGAGTTCTCATCTCCAAATATTGCCAAGGAGTTTCACGCTGGCCATTTGCGAAGTACGATCATTGGAGCGTACATTTCCAATCTATACGAGAGCATGGGTTGGGATGTGGTCAAAGTGAACTACCTGGGCGACTGGGGAAAACAATTTGGTCTACTTGCTGTCGGGTGGCAGAGGTTTGGATCGGAAGAGCTCTTTACAAAGGAGCCATTGAAACATCTGCTTGAAGTATACGCAAAAATAAACTCCTTGTTCGCGCCAGAAAAGGAGGCTAGTGAACAAGCTCGAGATAGGGGAGAAGATACCTCTGAGATTGAAAGTAAGGGCCTATTCGCTGAGAGAAATGCATTTTTCCAGAAAATGGAGGATGGAGATCCCGATGCTATTGCATTATGGAAACGGTTCCGTGATGTTAGTATCGAGCGGTATATCTCGACCTATGCTCGTCTCAATATTAAGTTTGATGTTTACTCTGGGGAATCAACTGTGAAAGTATCGACAGTCGAGAAAGCCGAGGCACTGCTCAAAGAAAAAGGCGTCTACACTGAAGATAACGGTACCTGGATTATCGACTTCAAGAAGCATGGTGCTCCTCATCTTGGAGTTGCAGTTGCTCGAACACGAATCGGAACTACAACTTACTTACTCCGTGACATTGCGGCTGCCCTGGAGAGAGTTGAGAAGTATCAATTTGATAAAATGATCTATGTCGTTTCTACCGAGCAGGATCTATATTTCCAGCGCCTCTTCAAAACGATTGAACTCATGGGATACACTGATGTGGCTGCCAAACTTGAACATATCAACTTTGGAAAAGTCATGGGCATGTCATCTCGATTGGGCACTGTGAAGATACTGAGTGATATCCTAGATGAATGTGGTAGTGCCATGCACGATGTCATGCGGAAGAACCCTGCTAAATATGAGCAAATTGAGAATCCCGCTGAGGTTGCAGATACACTTGGAATCACAGCAGTTATGGTTCAGGATATGGCGGGCAAAAGAATCCACAATTACCCATTTGACATTGCTAAGATGACCTCCTTTGAAGGCGATACAGGCCCCTATCTCCAATACGCCCATGCAAGACTTTGTTCTATCGTTCGGAAAGTGGATATTGACTCTAAGGAGATTACAACGGCAAACTTCTCTCTCTTAAAGGAGCCACATGCCATCAATATCCTTCGGCTGATGGCTCAATATCCTGACGTTACTTGTAATGCTTTGAAAACACTAGAGCCAACCACAATCCTGACATATCTTTTCCGGCTGGCACATCAAGTCTCCTCGGGATACGATGTGATCAAGGTAATTGGTGCTGAGAGTCACGAAGTCACTGTCGCTCGTCTAGCTCTGTATGAAGGAGCACGACAGGTGCTAGAAAATGGTATGCGGTTGCTAGGTTTTTCGCCTGTTAAAAGGTATGTGTTGTTCCCAGAGTACTGGTCGTATAATATCACTGGTTTACGTATCCTTGCTAACCTGCCTTAGAATGTAACGAGTTTGGGAATCAATGATAGTCAGGAGATTTCAGAGGAGAAGTAAATGACGGCCTCTGAGCGACCACCTAGCCAAGGTCGCTGCTAAAGAGTATTATCATGATTCATTTCAAGTTTAAGAAGTTATAGTTGCCATACTAGCAGTGCTTAACAGCAGTTAATCCTTTCGTCCTTGAATTTCCAACCCACAACGGCTTGACGTAGGGATGTAACTAGCATCAAGCTTTGAAGATTGACTCAATACTATTCAGTATTACTCTCTTCGCTGGATAATACCAAAATAAAACGTCTTATGCGTGATATAGGACATGTTTATATGTTAGGATAGTTATAGAAATGCAACGCTATGGAGTCGTTACAATGTTTGATGCTCCCTATGTTGTAGGATGTAGATTGTCCACACCAACGCATCCAAAAGCCACCCCATGGTGTTTTATCTACAACCACGTCCCCTACACAGCTTTTTAAGTAATGCATACCTTTTTCATGGGGTATACAGGGTCGAGATAGGTATAATGGGTGTTTTGGGGCCACTTTATGGGAAATTTTCAACCACGAGCAACCAGCATGAAAGTACTACCATTTTAACCGCAGTCTCTTGTAGATAGCGTGGGATGTGTCAATTTTCCGAAAAGGGTTGTGTCTGGGTGTCGGGCCGTAGGGTGCAGAGCGGGTGTAGTCCCTATCAACCGGTTATATCTCCCCCACCACGACGAGTAGAATAAGCCTACCTGACTCCTAGTACCCTACCCTTGTTTTGATACGTCCGTAGCCTTAGTTTTCAGTAGTATCAACCTCGCTGTGGTCGTATAGAGGGTCGTTGTAGGTCAATGTTGATAAACAAAACAACCCCTATTTTCAGCACCACAAGCATGTAGCAGCCCGTAAGCCTGTAGATACCAGCTGTAAATGCCTACAAAGAATAGAAGAGACGCTCTCAGCCAAAGATCCTCGCTGTCTCTGCGTCGCTTCCTGCGCTGCGCTGGTGGAAGGAATACGTACGACGCACAGGCCTTGTTACGTCCGTTTTGGCGAAACGGAAAGCGAAGATGGAAGAAGACGCAGAGACGCTTCGAGGGAGCTGAGAAGGCCGTCTGCAGCTGTTTATCTTGCACTACAACTTCGATTCTATGCTGCATGGGCTAACCTCGCCGTCGCTTGGTCTGTTGTTTACCAGTCCCAGAGCACATCTGACAGCACCACAACGAGCACTCGAGGGGGCCTGAAATTGGTCACAAACTGGAGGCAGAGAAGAGACAAGTCTGTGGATGCCAATTTTCAACCGCCCTCAACGCCCTTTTCCCCGTCTACGTGAAGGGAGGCTATCCAAGCCTGATTTCGCCCCCTGCCGGATGGATGACCGCTCACAACGCATGATACCCGGGCAAAAATGGTACCATCCGACTCGTCTCGTCGAGCTGATTCCAAATCTGCCCTCATATGCCAAAATTACAACCGGGACTCAGGTCGCTTTCAGGATATCTGCCCTGCCCACCTATCCCATGATACCCCCGATACGGCCTCCAGAGTCCGTATTTTTCGCTCAGAAAAGTGGGAGGCACCTTCCCCGGAGCTGCATTTGCCTCCAAAACAACCAAATGGAGCAATATATCCTGCCTGGATAGGGAATTTCGGGCCGTCTCTCCTTCTCTTTTCTGAGCTGCTCCTGCTCAAAACCATGCAGAATTGCCTGTTGAAGAAGGACCCAGAGCCGCCGGACGGGTATATTGATTCTCTCCCAGCCCAAATTGGCCGTCTTTTTTTCTCTTTTCTTTCCCTCACGCTTGCGTCTTCTGCTGACTACTGCTCGTACGAACGTACTGCTAGTGCTCACGCTGATTCTCTTGCTGCTCCTGCTGCTCTCTTGCTTGCCTCGGCTCGATCTTCTCTTCTCTTCTCCAACTCCCTCCTATCTCCGGCGGTCGCCCGACCACCCCCTAACCTCCGACCTTTCCTTACTGTCTTCTGTTTTTTTTGTTCACCATGCTGTTCGTGTTGTCTGTTGCTGGTCTTCTTGCTGTTTTTCTCTACTACGTGGGCCGTTGTCAGGCTGATGAGCGCACCCGTGCCATCGAGTATCAACAACGGCTCAGAAAGGTACGTCCCGTTTCTTCTGACCGTGTCCGCTGCTGGCCCCGCTGCTTGCCCTCCCGTTGTCGTCGTCATCGTCGTCGTCTGTTCTTCCGTGTTCGCTCCCCTGTTGTAGAGCCGGTTGCTGTAGAGCTTCCAGCTACTCCCTCCCCCGTGTGTTCTGTTGCTTCGTCCCCGTTTATTTTGTCCCCTGTGTCTTCTGCTGTTTCGTCCCCTTTCCTTTTGTCCCCTGTGTCTTCTGCTTCTTCTTCCCCTTTCCTTTTGTCCCCTGTTTCTTCTGCTTCTTCTTCCCCTTTTCTTTTGTCTCCTGTTGATAGTGTTGTTTCTTCCCCCTTTGTTTTGTCCCCTGTTGAGTCTGTTGCTTCTTCCCCCTTTATTGTATCCCCTGTTGAGTCTGGCGTTTCTTCCCCTTTCCTTTCTTCCCCCTTGTCTGAGCGTTCTGTTTCTTCCCCTGTTCCCCCTGTTGAGTTGAGCGTTCGTCTTGCTGCGTTGCGTGCCCGCGTTCTTGCTCTTTCTTCTGGTCCAGCAGCGGACCATACCCCCCTTTCTGCCCCTGCCCCCTCCCGCCGTGTTGCACGTATCCGCCAAGGGGTTCCCTTGGTGGTGCGTCCAACACGGATTCCCACTCCCGTTCCCTCCCGCGTCTTCTCTGCCCTCCCGCTAGTGCTTGAAAGAGACGCACGCCCCTTCGCTGAGACTCTAGGTCCCGTCGCCGCAACACCCATGGACATCCGGAACATCCTTCGCGCCCAAAGACTGGTCGCCAACGTCGCTGCTGAGGCACGCAGCTCCAACTCTTTACCAAGAAAGAGTGCTTTGCGAACCACCACCAGCGTGGAAAACACCAAGCGAGTCAGTTTTCACGAAGCTGTCACCGTTGTGAATGTCGAGAAGTGGGTGGTGCCTGGTGTGCACTCAGCTCTCAACTAGGTCTGGCCAACCTAGTTGCGTTCTGCTGTGTTCTCCAGGGTGACCACGTACCTGAGGTCAGTGTTAGGTTCCCATATTGCCACCCTCTCTTCCCCCTATCACGCGGATTTTACCACGAACAGAAAAAAAAAAATAACCAAAAAAATCTGCTTTCCGTCGTGCGTTCTTTTCTTCCATGAATTCTGGTGCTGCTTACGGGGTATATAGATTTTTGCTGTCAGGTAGCTCAATTGGTGAGTCATCTTCTGTCATTCTCCGTTTTTCATGGGTATCATGCTAACGTTGTCCTAGGGGGTCCACCGGGGCCATAACCGGAGCAGGGGTGGATGGTGGTTGGCGTATGCCAAACAAACGGTAAGTAACCATCCTTCTCCTCCTTGGTCTTTCAAAAAAAGATGTGCGCTAACCGTTTCAAACTCCAGGTTTGGGCCACCGTGTTGCCGATGCACGTCTTGTGTGTCGGCAACACGGTGGCCCACTTGCTCAGGCTGCAAGGGAGGATTGGTCTGTCTGTGGTGGTGCAAAACGGATTGCATCGAGGCAAGCAACCCACCCAACATCTTATCATCATTCACATACTGACGCTTGCGCAGACACTTGCAGCCTATATTTTCTGACTTAACTTTCTGCCAGCTTGCAAAGAGGGTGCAAAGGGACTAATCCAGGGGCGTATCACCTACCCTACCTTATTCTCACGTACTGACAGTTTCTTGCATAGGTAACCTTCTTCTGTTTAGGGCTTTTTTGTTGCAAAGAAGGATGCAAAGGGACTAATCCAGGGGCGTATCACCTACCATACCTTGTGCTCACGTACTAACGGTTTCTCACATAGGTAATTGCATATATTGTGGTGGTTGCAAAGGGACTGATCCAAGGGAGTATCACCGAGTATCACCTACCCTACAATGTATTCACGAGCTGACAGTTTCTTGCGCAGATAACATGTTGAGGCTGCAAGGGAGGATGGGTTTGTCTGTGGTAGCGCAGCACGGAATGCATCGAGGCAAGTCTCCCGTCACTTCATCACTGACCATTGACCACATACTGACACATGTGCAGACACTTGCAGCTTGCAACTTTTCTTTTCTAGGTTCCTTTTTTTTAAGCCACCGGGGAATGGTTAGTCTGTGGTAGCGCAGCGTGCACTGCATCGAGGCAAGTAACCCCATCATCTATATCATCATGAACATGCTAACACATGTGCAGACACCGGATGTGGCTTCGAGGGATGGTTTCCTGTGGTGGCGCAGCATCGGCTGTTCAGAGGTATGCATTTTCATTCAACTTCTCTCTTCCTTCTCTTCCTACTTATCTTCTTCTTTCCCTTCCTCTGCTCCTGTCTCCTCCCCGGTCCTTCATCAGTCCCCATCCCACACACACGCAACCATCTATCTCCAAAGCAACAAGCTAACACCCCGTCACCTCACAGACACGCAATCCATGCGGAGGGATGGTCAGTCTTGGGGTAGCGCAGCTGCACTGCATCGAGAGTAAGTCACCTCATCTTCCTGCTGTCGTTGTTCGTGTTTCTTGTTGTGTGTTGTTGTCGTTATGAAGTTGAGATGTCGTCGTCTTTTCCTTTTCAAGAAGTTCATCACGTGGCTCACCTTATGTAATCTTTCCTAGCGCCCGAGTTTTCCGCTTGCGTACAAAGGGGCAGGGGTTGAGCGTGGTGGGATGGTGGGAGCTCAACCCAAGGGTTGGATTTTTTTTTTTTTTTTTTCACTATCATAATAGCCTTGTCAATCAAGATGCTGCTATTCTTATTCTCCATCTAGTGGTTGCAAGTAATCATACAGTAAACACAGTAGTAGTCAATCAAGATATAAGAAACAAGATACACAAAGGTGGATGATGTACATGAGGAAGACAGGGGCTACTGTTCCTTGACAGTAAGAGGTAGAGCTCGTAGACGGCGGCCAAGAAGCTCCAGCTCACCAACAATACCGCCAGAGGACAGGGACCATTTCTCACCGACCAACCGTCCGTCAACACGGTCTCTCAGCAGACCGCTCCTTGCATAGTACTGCAAGAGGCCAGCGGCTTCGTCTTTGCCCAGGCCAGAGAGCTCAATGTAGCCCATCTCCTTGGCCTGAGAGAACAGCGAGACCACACGGTCGTCCAGCTTGCCGTACAGAACAGGGTAATCAGGAGAGGACGGGCTAATTCCAGCCTGTCGAGCAGCAACCTGCTTGATTCCGAGTTCCAGAGAAGGCAATCTCATGCAGTTGGAGGCAGCAGTTGCATACAATGCGAGACCACCATTCGGCAAGGCTTTCTTGGGCTCCATACGCATCAGAGAGAGGAAATGTTCGACAATGGTAAAGTCATGAGCGTGAATGAGCTTATATTCTGCGTTGCGGTACTTGGACTCAGCCATCCAGCGAGCGAGGTTGTCAACTGTGACAAGAAGCGGAGGACGAGCAGTGAATGGCTTGGTTCCCTTAGCTGCATTCGTGTCCATTGCTGGTCCCGTGGCGGTAAGCTCAGACCAGAGAGAGCGGAATATCGACCATGAGAGGTCCGGTTGCTGGATACCGATGTTTGCCATCTCGAAGAGAGAAATCCCAGAGTCCTTGACGTTAGGGTGTGATCGGGAAATATGTAGTTTTGAGAGAACTTCCTTGTTTCCCTCGGCTATGCGCTTGAGTAATTCGGCAGTAGCATTTTTCTGGAAATATTTGACTGGGTTTGAGTTAGGGACTGGAGCATAGGCCGTTGTGCCGTTGACAATATCCCAGGCTATATTATACGTTAGCACCTAGCTTGGAAATCATAATGGGGATAAGAACATACCGTCTGGAATTGTGACCACTACCCAGTTCTTCAAGAAGGCCATTGTAGTAGCGTGCAGCAGGTGAACACTCTTCCCTGTGCCTCTACCGCCTGTGACAATTTTCATGACAGCTTCCGCGCCCTTTTCCTTATCATTGATATGCTCAATCAACCTGCCTAGCTCAACGGTTTCTTTCCTAACCACAGTGCAGGGCCGTCTGAACAAACTCCACCCCTGGCTCCTCCTGAAAGCCTCAACAGCTCTCAATCTATCAACCAAATTCATTGGCAAACCAACTACTTGAGTCCTAAGCTCTGGATCGCTCAAATTCGCCACGCTGAGCTCTTGTAGACCGGTAACTTCAAGCGCATTATTGTTACTTAGCACAATTCGATGGCTTAGAGCCCTTCGCTCGTCTGGGCTTCGTCGAGCCGGCCTGCCTGCCTTGCCCTTCTTCAACGTTCGTGTACTTCGTGATTCACGGAATTTCGGTCCGGGATTTTGGTTCTTCCCTTTCTTAGCTGGAGCGGCATTGAGAGCTGCGCTAGTATGGAATGACGAGGATGTAGGTAGTGTACGGAGAAGAGTCGACTGTTGAGAGAGCGCCGGTAGTGAGAGTGCTCGAGATGGGTATACTGAGCGTATCTGGGACACACATCTCCAGCAACAAGAGGAAGCCATCTTCAGGCACACCAGACTGCTGATCTGGTCTCTACCGAACGCCAATGGCTCGCCGCGTGCACTTTGCAGTTCGTCGTTGATGGTTTTTTTTGCTTCGTGACGTCGCTTTCTTTTACTTTGAAGGAAAAAAAGTGATGAAGATCGAAAAGGGAAAAAGTAGTCGCTGTTTTTATCTATATCACGTGATAATGCTGCATGCAGAAGCTTCATCTAAAGCGGCAAGGAACATCCACCTTGTTAATTTTTGAATTATTTTTTTGATCTTCACGAAGAGTAATTTATATATCGAGGACAGATCAGTCGCATTATTTGAGATTTAAAAAGAAGACAGCCTGGAACATCATGCCAGACATAGCTATGGCAGATTCAACGACTAAGGTCAAGTCAAAGACAAAGCCAGAGAGACTGTGCGTATGATGCTTCAACCTACAAATTTTTCTTTTTATATCTAACGTGCAATCCAGGCCGATAACGGTTGAAAAGCCCACACCATATGTATTCGATCTTGGAAACCTTATGGCGCTGGATGCGAACCCAATTGATCTCCCTCAGTCTGCAAAATCTTCGCCATTGATATTAAACCAGACCCTGAAAGCTACGGCACGCGACGGCGCCCAGTGCCTTGTCAACCAGCTCCTCACCACCTGTCCGATAACGAGCTCAATGCAAGACGGTGTTCTTCTCACCCTTCCGCGTCCAACGACCATGGTACCTCGGTTCAAACCACTGCCTACTCCCAAACCCCCTACCAAATGGGAGCTCTTTGCCCGCAAGAAGGGAATTGGCAAGTACAACACTAAGCTGGGCAGCGGCCTAGCTGAGACCGAACGGAAGAAAAACCTGGTTTATGACGAGGAGAAGGGCGAGTGGGTGCCCAAGTGGGGATATAAGGGGAAAAATAAGGGAACCGAGGATGACTGGCTTGTGGAAGTTGACGAGTCCAAGTGGAAGAAAGAGGAACAGATGAATAATGAGGGCAAGTCTATTCGAAACGAAGGCAGAAAAGAGCGCATGGAAAGAGCGAGAAGAAATGAGAGGAAGATGAGGGCCAACGAACGCAAGGCTAGAACTGGGAAGGCGAAGTAAGGTTGAAAAGTCGAGTTGGTAGTTTTACCAGGTGTTACGGCGGTCTGTTATAATCGATTGCATGGCGTTAGGGCGAGCGATGGATATATCCTGTAGACTAGGGTTTTAAAAAAGTGAATGATTAGATTATGTCAATCGTATTATTGAATCAACCTCAACCTATCCACGGTCTTCGATTAGTTAACAGGTAGAAGATAAAACTCTTCTATCATGAGTGCTATAGGCAAATGGAGAGGATGTAGCCAGCAGTCTATTAAACAAAAATTGAAAGTAATATTAATTCAAAAGGATTTATTCAACTTTGTATCAACAAGGAGAACCAACGACACAAACAGTTGCCAAAAAGGGAGCACAATGGAAAAGAAAATTCAAAAGCCGCAGGACCAAAAGTAAAAGGCGGGAAATGACGAAACACAAGTAGAATTGAATGTGCCAACGCCAACGAAGATATCAAATC